GAAGATGTCCAACATTTGGTTTTTTACCATTATATTTTTCAAAAGGTGTACCTTCAGCTAAACTCTTTGTTATGCTTCTATTTCGAACATAGTTCGCCGTGTTAATGGCTTCTGCCCAAAATGAGTTACTTAGACCGGCTTGCATCAACATGCACCTGGCAGAATTAACTAGAGTTCGGTTGCGGCGTTCCGCGACTCCGTTTTGTTGCGGTGTATGTGGAGTTGTAAGCCTTCGTTGAATACCTTTCTTTGAAAAATACGAATTTAATTTCTGGTTGCAGAATTCAGTTCCGTTATCGGATTGTACGAATTTCACTTTCATGCCCGTTTGCCTTTCCGCCTTATCGATGAATTCTATGAGTCTAGTTGAGGTTTGATCCTTGCTTTTTAGGAAGTACACTTCGCCGTAACGACTATAATCATCGACAATCGATAAAAAATATCTTGCGCCACCGTTTGATGTGGTCCGCATAGACCCGCACAGATCAGTGTGAATGATATTAAGGCATTCTGTTGATCTGTTAGCAGTTTTTGGAAATGGCAAACGTGGTAACTTTGCAGCTATACAAATTTCGCAACTATGAGGAACGTTGGAATCGCTAAAATTCATTTCGATAACGCTTTCCTTTTTAAAATAACTTCGTGATCTTTGTCAACAATTTTCGTTACAGATAACAAGTTAGTTCTTAAATCAGGAATAAATAATGTATTTTCGAGATTTATGTTTTTGTAACTACCGTTGGATTTGATTTTCAGATTGACACGACCTTTCGCAAGAACATCTGCGGTTGCTGAACTAGCTAGTCGTATTTTGCTGTCAATGCTTTCAAGGTTTTGAAATGAATCTTTGTTGTTACAGAGATGTGATGTGCAACCACTATCCAAACACCAAAGTTCGTTCTTATCGCAATTTACTGGACTGTTTGTAAAGAAACTTTCTCCTACGTAATTTTCATTTTGTTTATCTTTACCTGGATTGCTGACATTTTTCTTTTTCCAACATTCGGATTCCTTGTGACCTCTCTTCTTGCAGTAACCACAATTGTAGTTCGGCCTTTTATTATTGTATTTACCTGACAGTGGTTTTTCTGTACGAGTGCTCGCAAATTTTTGTTGATGTTTTGCGTACATTGCACTTGACTCATTATTCTCCGTTCTTCTTGTTCTGGCATCGCTTTCTTCAATTATTTTAATTTTCAACGATTCAGCGTCTGGCAGTATGTCACGCGTCTCGATGACACACCTAAAATTATCAAAATTATCCGGCAAACTATATAATAGAATAATTGTGAGAAGATCGCCATTTATTTCTACATTCATGGCGTTGAGTTTATCAACTGTATCAAAGAAACGCGATAAATGTTCCCTCACATCATTTCCATCGGATAGTTTTTGAGTAATTAATTGCTTAAGTAAATTTGCTTTTCGAGCTGGTCCTTTTGATGCGTAAATACTTTGTAATTTCATCCATACATCGTTCGAAGTTTCGCATCCACGTATTTGCTTCAGCTCGGATGGTGAAATTGATAGTATGAGCTCTGACTTCGCTTTACGATCTTGTATAATCCATGCATTTTGTAACTGCTGTTGATTAACGGTGTTTTGCGTATCTGGTTCAACTTCTGGCTTCAGACGGATACCGGATACATATTCCCACAAATCTGCTTTCACAAGTAACGCTTCGACTTGAATGTTCCATGTATCATAATTACTTCTGTTGAGTAATTCGATTCGGGTAGCATTAAGGATGTTAGCGCCAGCCATTTATTGATTTCTAATCGAATAACCACGAGACTAGGAGACTAAAACAGATCGACAGTTCGAGAGTAAGTACGTCACCTTACGTTTTTGACAGTTATTCTATTTTAATGATCTTCAATCTCGTAAGACTTCCAACAACTAATTTATCGTTCTTCTGTGGCCCATAACCTATTAGAGTTAGTGGAGTTATAAATAAAGTACTGGAAGTCTCAGCAGAACAAATATTAAGATGAAATATATCGTAGCAAATATAACACGTCAATTATAATTAAATATATTAACAACACTTGTTTATAAACACATCACCTTAGAAACATTTTACTAAAATTTGAAACTCTAACAAGTACATTTTAGGAGGATGTGCTGAATTAGATTATGCATTGGAATGACGTAGTTGGCGGGCGTGTCTTGTGCTGTAACAGTTTATATTCCGTAAAATCGCACCCAGGTTCGAACCCCCGACCTCCGGATTAATACGATTGAGTCACAAAATCGGATTTCCGCTTCATCCCATGAATTATGTTTATGTTTCAATCATGCCATATTTAATTTTTGTAGGTAATTGTTCTGTATTTGGATGTATAAAACATCTGTTGAACATCATTATTATTACCTGCGTGAAGACAGCAACCAAAGATAGCAACCGTTTCTCCGAAGATGCCCGAATACCACAGAAATACAAAAAAATGTAGATTGCGTCCACCTTTACAAACAAGCAATGCGCGAATAGTTATCACTTTCTAGTTTGTGCAGAAAATTACTGCTATACATATCCAATAAACAAATGCAAAAATAATTTCTTGCAACCCCTTGCGTCACATAGAAATCCACCCCCAATGTGTTTATAAATCGAATACGGCAAAACGAGGGTAGTTATCACTGTTTAGTTTGTGCAGAAAAATACTGCTATACATATCCAATAAACAAATGCAAAAATAATTACTTACAACCCCTTGCGTCACAAAGAAATCCACCCCCAATGTGTTTATAAATCGAATACAGCAAAACGAGGGTAGTTATCACTGTTTAGTTTGTGCAGAAAAATACTGCTATACATATCCAATAAACAAATGCAAAAATAATTTCTTGCAACCCCTTGCGTCACATAGAAATCACCCCCAAGGTGTTTATAAAAAGAATACAGCAAAACGCGGGTAGTTATCACTGTTTAGTTTGTGCAGAAAAATACTGCTATACATATCCAATAAACAAATGCAAAAATAATTACTTGCAACCCCTTGCGTCACAAAGAAATCCACCCCCAATGTGTTTATAAATCGAATACGGTAAAACGCGGGTAGTTATCACTTTCTAGTTTGTACAGAAAAATACTGCTATACATATCCAATAAACAAATGCAAAAATAATTTCTTGCAACCCCTTGCGTCACATAGAAATCCACCCCCAATGTGTTTATAAATCGAATACGGCAAAACGCGGGTAGTTATCATTTTTTAGTTTATGCACAAAAATACTGCTATACATATCCAATAAACAAATGCAAAAATAATTTCTTGCAACCCCTTGCGTCACATAGAAATCCACCCCCAACGTGTTTATAAATCGAATACGGTAAAACGCGGGTAGTTATCACTCTTTAGTTTGTGCAGAAAAATACTGCTATACATATCCAATAAACAAATGCAAAAATAATTTCTTGCAACCCCTTGCGTCACATAGAAATCGACCCCCAACGTGTTTATAAAACGAATACGGTAAAACGCGGGTAGTTATCACTTTCTAGTTTGTGCAGAAAAATACTGCTATACATATCCAATAAACAAATGCAAAAATAATTTCTTGCAACCCCTTGCGTCACATAGAAATCCACCCCCAATGTGTTTATAAATCGAATACGGCAAAATGCGGATAGTTATCACTTTCTAGTTTTTGCAGAAAAATACTGCTATACATATCCAATAAACAAATGCAAAAATAATTTTTGCAACCCCTTGCGTCACATAGAAATCCACCCCCCAATGTGTTTATAAATCGAATACGGCAAAATGCGGATAGTTATCACTTTCTAGTTTGTGCAGAGAAATACTGCTATACATATCCAATAAACAAATGCAAAAATAATTTCTTGCAACCCCTTGCGTCACAGAAATCCACCCCCAATGTGTTTATAGATCGAATAAGGCAAAACGCGGATAGTTATCACTTTCTAGTTTGTGCAGAAAAATACTGCTATACATATCCAATAAACAGAAGCAAAAATAATAGCAGACCGGTTACTATCAGATCGCCATTGACCAGAAGCCAATACTCCCGCCTAATCATTGCAGCGGAAAAGGACTACTCCACGACCGAACGGGAGGCCTTAGTTGTGGTCTGGACCCTCGCCAAGTTCAGCGGGTACGTGGAGGGCAGTCCTATAGTGCCACCGCCGAAACGTGGTGGCCATGCTCCCCAGGCGCACGGGAAGAGTGTGTAATGGAATAAGAATATTTAATATTCCGTGTGCCCAATTACGGTGGACTTCCCAAAACGACCAGCAATCGACATCCGTCAGGGGCAACTACGGGAGGTGCGATAAGTCGTAGAAGGGTTCGAAGGGTCGTACCCGAACACAATGGACCAATATCACTGAACGGCAAAAGAGTTCTTTAGGTATCCTATTCTAATCCTGTACCAAACCGCTAATCTCTTCCGCTATGGAACCTCTAGAAGAATTAGAAGCGACAATCGCACCCAATTTATCAGCGACCCATTGTCTGGGAGTCGCCCAATCCCTCACTCTTGTTTACCACCCACAGTCAAACCCAGTGTAGAGAAGGACTAGTAAAAAGACACCATTCGAACTTGTCCGAGGATTCACACCCGTCCATCTGTCCATGGGGCGCGAACTCGGAATGACGGATGAATGTCACCGGGACCAGATAAACAACATAATAGAAGACACGTACGTTCCCGAAATCAAGAAGGACTGTACAAGATCCTCCAGGTCCTGGACCCAATGTGTCGAATGGTGGCAGACGAAAGTTCTTTGGAAAGTTTCGAAATATATGATCTTGCAATAGCCATTTTGACGTCAATTTCTTTAATTTCAATATTCCCATCGTCAAATTGCAATAAACACCTAATTATTTTCAGAATTTAATTACCAACCTAATTGCTATTGAACGAATTCATGGCAATGGGAATACGATTCCATTATCCTATTATTACCTACCTATACTAAATCTTGCGATACACTTCGTTAAAAATTCACAATAAATGTTGAAATCCACTTAATTAACCCCAATTCCCAACATTATGCGACATTTCCCCTATAAATAGAGAGCCAGTCCCAAGCTCCATCTCTCGTGCAGTTTACAATGAACTACTCTACGCACTTTCTCCTCCTGGTACATGTTGCAGTGGCAGCATCCTACTCTAACATTCTGTGTAAGTCAACGATGATTGATCTTCTGATTCCAACGAATTCTTGCAGCCCAGCTCCAGGTATGCAAAAGATCGGATCCGAATCTGAACGGGTGCCTCAGGACTGCAATCCAGGCGGCGCTGCCTCTGCTGAAGAACGGTAGGGACCTCGCGCTTTTGAGCGGTTTCACGTCCAAATTTCAGGCGTGCCCGAAATTTCGTTCCCGTCAATGAATCCGATCAAAATCGAAATGGTGTACATCAACGCCGAGCCGCCGATGGATTTCGACCAGGTGTACAGCAACATTGAGCTTCACGGACATGCCGATTCGGTAATTACCGACGTCAGGTAAGCTGAAACGCTGGAGGTACTTGTGCGAGAGATTTTTTTGGAGTTTAGCACAAGAATCGATGAGAAGAACGTGATCATGGCGATCAAAGGCGAGTGCAACACGGGCACGCTGTCAATGGGACTGGAGTACAAGGATGCGATCGTCTTCGGATTTGACCTCAGTGGCAAAGGACGAATGGAACAAATCCACCGTAAGTTGACCACGGATTCTTGATGATGATACCTTAAGGTGCTCCACAGATGACTACCACTTCCTCATTTACATCGAGGGTGAGCTTAAGCCTAAGGCTAAACACCTTTCAATTAGAAACGTGACGGTGGATGTCGATCTGAAGGATTTTTCGATTACGGTCGACCTCTACGGCAACCAACAGTTGAGCAAGACCGTGAGTAAGGTGTTTACTGACAACTCGGCTCTTCTGTATGGGGCAGTACGGAAGGAGGTCGAAGAGATCTACGGCGCGGCGTACGGGAACTTGGTGAAAAGGTTGTTTGCGAAAATCCCGATTGATGAATTGCTTCCCAAGTAATTGACATTCCTAGTCCTTCCCATGAAATCTCGAGTTCCACCCCAATCTCCCACGTACCTCCCCTAAACCTAGATTTTGTTGAGTCTTAGGCACCATAAATCCGTGAACCTACTTGGATCTGCTTGACTATGAGCTTCCGGTTTGCCAAATCTTTGTACCTTAGACTCAAAATGGACTCTGGAACTGTCGGCAACGGAATGTTGGATCTAAAAATCTTTGAATCGTTTTGACATTTTTACGCGTTCTTTACACCCCACCCCAGCGTCCTCGTCGGTCCATTTGAATCCTTGTAATCCTTCAGGAACTGTTCCAAGCTCTGCCAAGCGTTCATTCTAAAGGTTTCTAACGCCTACGGGTCCCTATTGAATATTCCCCAACCTTCAGAAAGCTTTTTGAACCTCCACAAATATTCTTGAAAACTCTCTTGAAACTGTATAAACTAATTAATAATTGTTCTTGTTCTTTTTCTCTTCTTTCCTTTTTAATTCAATGTGTAGATTAAATAATTAAAGTTTATTGTTTTTATGTGATGTTGGTTCAATAAACGTATATTATTATTATTATTATTTATTTATTATTCCACAATTACATTGGTATAACTATTATAAGTTATGGGGGCAATAACCAACCATAACTTGTTTTTTGTATTTGAGATATTTACATACACTTTTTTTTAATTATTATCATTATTATTATTATTATTATTTTCTCCGCGTTCTTGAATGTGTTTGTACTTTGAACACTCGTATGGAATATCCTCCAGCAGTACCTACGAGTAAAAAATAAGCATTATTAATTAATATTAATAATATTTATTAATATTATAAATATATTTTATTAAATATATTACAAATATGAATATAATAATATTAATTAATTATTAATTACACTTAGCAAAAGAAGACTAGGTAATTTTTTCCATATTATACCCAACAACCTCATGCTTTTGAGGGGGGGTATTTTATACCCCTCGGACCCCCCAAGGTACTAAGAATTTCCACTACAGCGCTCAGATTCTCATTTATTTATTTATCTATTTTTGTTTATTGTCTCTCTTGTTCTGGACCCTCGACCAGCTTTCGCCCAATTACAGAGAGACCCGCAGAATGCTTTTTAGAGGTGCCCCTGCAGGAAAACCTAATTCGGAGTAGCCGGCAGGATGCTCGAAACTGATCCTCGGTTTTGTAGCTCAGTGGTAGAGCGTTGGGCTACAAAACCGGAGGTCGGGTGTTCGAACCTGAGTTGAGGTGAATTTTTCATCTGTGGCAGAGATGGGAATATCCTTAGATCAGTTTCCAGCATTCTGCCCGCTACTCCGAATTAGGTTTTCCTGCAGCTTTCCTAATTCGTAACATAAATACCGGAGAGTATAGAAACACTTAAGACCTTTTCCAGGGGTAACTTTACAAACGTAGGTCTAGGGGGATGTGGAATCCCCCCCCCCACCGTAATACTCGCCGGCAGTACCCTCACCACTAAAGGAAGACTCACTAATTTTTACCCTATTATACGTAACAACTTGAGAAAAGGTAATCAAATTTTCATTGCTGCCCCCAGACCCTCCCCCCCCCTCCCCCCGTAGTACATTTTCCACTAGACGCTCAGAGTCTCATAATTATTCTTTAGAAAAGGACAGATGAACCTTTTTTGTATGCGAGCGTTAATTGTTTTTGGGAGAGAACGAATCACAGAGGGGTTTGGAGTGCATGGCCCCCCCCCCCCCACCACCACCACCATTATACTGCCCAGCTGTATCCTCATCAAAGACTCACTAATTTTCACCCTATTACACCTAACAACTTCACGTGAGCTTTTCAGAAAAATTAATCAAACTTTCATTGCTGGTTGGAGGGTATTCCATTCCCCCCAGGCCCCCCGGTACTACGATTTTACACTAGACGCTCAGAGTCTCATAATTAATTTTTAAAAAGAGACAAACCTTTTTTCCTTTGGAGTATGCGAACACTAAACATTTTTGGGGAACAACGTAGCAGCGAGGGAGTCTGGGGGGGGGTATAATACTCTCCAGTAATACTTCCGAGCAGTACGCTCAGCAAAGGAAGGATCGCTAATTTTTCCCCATTAACCTAACAACCTCACGTTACCTTTTGAGAAAAGGTAATCAAATTTTCATTCCCGGTATTCCATACTCCCTAGACCCCTCGGTACTTAGATTTTCCACTAGACTTTTAAAGTCTCAAAACTAATTTTTGGAAACAGACAGACGAACATTTTTTGCGTTGGAATATGCTAACACTAAATATTTCTTGGGAACAACTTAGCACCGTGGGAGTCTAATACCCCCCCCCCCCCCCCGCTGGCTGAGGGATTTCCCCTCCAGATCCTTCGGTACTACGATTTTCCACTAAAGCGCTTCAATTCTCATAATTAGTTCTTAGAAAAGGACAGACGAACCCCTTTTCCCTGTGCAGTATACTAAGACTAAATGTTTTTGAGGGAGAACGTAGCACCGGCAATCTGAGGCGTATGGAAATTTCATACCTCCCAATACTAGAGTACTCAGTCACATAATTAGTTTTCATAAAAAGGACAGACAAAGCCTTTTTTCCTGTGGAGTATGCTAGCACTAAACTTTTTGGGGAAGAAGGAGCTCTGGGGGTTTGAGGTTCTATCCTATTCAAGTCATATTTTTTAAAGAACCTTAAATGTTCATGGATTTTTGACACTCGAAACTTCAAATTTTTGTCGTGGCATCCTTACACATTTTTGAAGTATTCTTGGGTTTTAAATTATTTGAGATCTTTTGAGATTATTGACTCTTTTTCACTAACATTGAGCCGTTCTGAATTTTCCACTTCTTGCACTGTTACATTTCTACCACCTGCGTCATTGCCATATTTCCGATACCTCTTTTACCTTTTCCACTTTTTTCATTCCATCCGCATCCTCCTTTCTTTAGAACTCTTATAATCCGCCCAAACGTTCTTGGCTCTTCGAGTCTTTGGGTATTCATATTTCCGGACTCTTTTTAGACCTTTCTTTGTGCATCTTTTAAAACACGTTTAATGTTGCCCTCCTCCTCATAGTCTCTCTTGGGTCAACTGTGTAGCACTTTGGTTTTCTTGGTCCCGCCCGAGCCCTCTCAATCCCTTTCGGTTCCGCACCACCATTTCACCTCCCTAAGTCTGTGAACCTTTTGAAATACTCCTAAATCTGGGAAACACGAACATCTAATGTTTGAGTCTAAGTATCCCTGAGACTTTATGAGTTTACGTGAATCCTGAGTTTTTTTACTCCTCAAAAGGTTTGATTTTTCTTCCTCCTTCGGATTTCTTTGTACAGACGCCTTGTTCTAATATTGATACTCACTGTTAGTCTCATTGGGTTCCACTTAATCTGTCAGCCCTCCCAAACAACCATAAGATCCCCTTGAACCTTTCAGAAGTTTATGTAATTGTCCTGGACCTTTCAAAATCTCTCAAACGTTATGAGGGATCTACACCCCTAGAACCCTCAAATGTCGTTAATGAAATTGCAAAATATATTCTCATTTTTTCCTTTTCTGATCCCGCGTTTTTTTCTACCCCTTTTTCCTCACCACCCCTCACATCTCCATCGCTTCGTCCAAACATCTTCACATCTTTTTTGCGCGCCGTTTCTGAGCTTCCGTTAAGCCCCCTCACTTTTCCCTTGTATCTCTCTTCCATAGTGATCCACCATTTTATTTATTTCACCTCTTCTCATTGCTTCATGCCTCTATTAAGTAAAATTCCCTTCGCCCCCCAGACAACTCTTTCTCGTAGCCAGCTCAGAGTCTGAGAGCCTGAGATACAACGATCGAAATGGCGCCCATCCTGATGGTCGCATAACGGCAACTCGGAGTCATTGGTTATCAGGTTGGGGGAAGAGGGGGGCGCATTTCAAATTTTAAAAAAATATGACATATGGTCAAGGTCCATCAAAAGTTCTCTGCTAAAAAAAATATGTAAAAATGGAAGAGGCCTTACCTTGTCCCTCAATTTAAAACAGCATTATTCAGTTTTCGTCGGGAAAATCTGAAAGGCGCTCAAATTTGGAAAAATGACGTTTTATGTTCTATGCCCCCCCCAAGCTTCCCTGTGCTACGTACCCTGAAATAATCCTTAGGAGAAGATGATCTGATAATTTTCTCAGAAACTATCAGAGTCCTGAGCGTCTTGTGGCCGAGAACGTAGCCCCGGGGGAGGGGGGGGGTGGAATAGCCCCCGGAATTACACAATTGTTCCATTGCCATTTCCACAAAACCCAGTGAGAGTATCGAGTTTTCTTTTACTGGGTTGTTTGTGAAATTTCCATTTCCATAAAACCCCCATTAGAGTACTACGGGTTATAGGTATATAGGTCATTGAACCTTCTTTTGCTGAGTGGTATTCCATACCTCATAGGCCCCAGGTGCTACATACCCCGCAATAATTCTTAGGAAATAATAATTTCTCAAAAACTATGACAGTCCTGGCGACTAAGCGTCTTGTGGGGGAGAACGTTGCACCGGGGGGTCTGGCGGTATGAAATACCCTCCACCAAAAGAAGATTGGCAGGGATTTACAGGGGAAAGGGCGGAGCTTTCCTTTGCTGGGTTGTTTGCGATTTTCCGGAAATGGTCATTGACACTTCTATTGCTGGGTGTTTTCTATACCCTCGAGGGCCCTGCGATGGTTCCCTTGCCATTTGTAGAAAACCCCTATAGTTAGGGGTTATAGGGAAAAGAGTTATCGAGTTTTCCTTTGCTGGGTTGTTTGCGATTTTCCTAAAATGGTCATTTAATCTTTTTGTGCTGGATGTTATTTCATTGTCTCCTGACCACCCAGTGCTACGTTCTCCTCAATACTTCTTAGGAGAAGATGATGTTGATTTGCAAAGGGGATGGGGGTAATACGTCAAATACGTGTAACTGCCACCGCTAATTTACGACTTTCCTCTCCTGCTAGTTTTAGGTATCAGGAGAGTATCACTAAAAATTATAATGTTTCAATCCATTTGCGCTCTTAATCCGATTATTGAACCATCAATTAAGTTAATTCAGTATCTTGCACTTCATAATTTATAATTACTTATTTATAACTTTTGCCACTACTGAACTCCTGATTAATTAGTAAATTTTACGCGTTTTTGTCAAACGGAAGGCCGGGTTTTTAATCCTCTGTCTGAAAGGCGCTCAAATTTGGAAAAATGACGTTTTATGTTCTATGCCCCCCCCCCCCCAAGCTTCCCTGTGCTACGTACCCTGAAATAATCCTTAGGAGAAGATGATCTGATAATTTTCTCAGAAACTATCAGAGTCCTGAGCGTCTTGTGGCCGAGAACGTAGCCCCGGGGGAGGGGGGGGGTGGAATAGCCCCCGGAATTACACAATTGTTCCATTGCCATTTCCACAAAACCCAGTGAGAGTATCGAGTTTTCTTTTACTGGGTTGTTTGTGAAATTTCCATTTCCATAAAACCCCCATTAGAGTACTACGGGTTATAGGTATATAGGTCATTGAACCTTCTTTTGCTGAGTGGTATTCCATACCTCATAGGCCCCAGGTGCTACATACCCCGCAATAATTCTTAGGAAATAATAATTTCTCAAAAACTATGACAGTCCTGGCGACTAAGCGTCTTGTGGGGGAGAACGTTGCACCGGGGGGTCTGGCGGTATGAAATACCCTCCACCAAAAGAAGATTGGCATGGATTTACAGGGGAAAGGGCGGAGCTTTTCTTTGCTGGGTTGTTTGCGATTTTCCGGAAATGGTCATTGACACTTCTATTGCTGGGTGTTTTCTATACCCTCGAGGGCCCTGCGATGGTTCCCTTGCCATTTGTAGAAAACCCCTATAGTTAGGGGTTATAGGGAAAAGAGTTATCGAGTTTTCCTTTGCTGGGTTGTTTGCGATTTTCCTAAAATGGTCATTTAATCTTTTTGTGCTGGATGTTATTTCATTGTCTCCTGACCACCCAGTGCTACGTTCTCCTCAATACTTCTTAGGAGAAGATGATGTTGATTTGCAAAGGGGATGGGGGTAATACGTCAAATACGTGTAACTGCCACCGCTAATTTACGACTTTCCTCTCCTGCTAGTTTTAGGTATCAGGAGAGTATCACTAAAAATTATAATGTTTCAATCCATTTGCGCTCTTAATCCGATTATTGAACCATCAATTAAGTTAATTCAGTATCTTGCACTTCATAATTTATAATTACTTATTTATAACTTTTGCCACTACTGAACTCCTGATTAATTAGTAAATTTTACGCGTTTTTGTCAAACGGAAGGCCGGGTTTTTAATCCTCTGTCATTTTCTTCATTTTTGATGAGCGTGTTTCCATTATATTCAAATGTTTTAGTAAAGTTTGATACGCCACCGGAATACTGCACGCCACTGGCGACTAGAAATATTTCAGAAACATGGCGATGGTAATCTGCACAATTTTTCTCGTCCATTTTTTGGATATCTTCTGTGGCAAAGAAATTAAGATCAATATCGGTCCATATATCACCAATGCTTCCCTCCAACCCCTTACTCCAGCATGGTTCAAGTATCTCCGCACGTCTTTCACGAAACTGCAATTTCCTGTACGTTTCTCCATCCCCACTTTCTATTCACATTTCTTTTACCCCCTCCCCATTTTAACTGCCCATAATCGAGAATGAATTGGATCTTCCCTGATTCGGATATTAATACTCGAGCACGGCTGAACCAAGGAGAGCCAGGTGGATTTATTTAAAGAGTATCATTGAAACAAAGAAATTTATTTGAGAACTGTACACTTTCACATCGGGAAAAGGTTGTTATAGGGAACTTGGTCAAGAATTATATTAGCTAACTTCCTGTAAGCTTCGGCATACATCATTTCGTAATCGTGCTTCACTAACGGAAACATTATTACTCCATGGAGTCCGCCGAATGTGTTAATCAGATTGTCTCTCTGAGCGTTGTCGGATTTGAAGTTAATGCTAAATTTCTCGGCGGTCATCACTAGGTTAGCACTGCTCAGTGTGAGATAGTCATCGCCGCCTTTTTGGACAATTTCGCCTCTCATAGTGAGGTCAAAGTCGTAGCCACCTAGAAACACAATGGCGTACTTCTTGGGGTTATCCGAAGGGTGGCTTACTATGGTCATATGTAGCTTTTCCTTTGCCGCTAACGTCGATACCCGCGAATGACGAGTTGACAAACTCGTAATCGGACTCGAGTTTTATCTTAGGGTTGTACCCCTTAATCTTGAGGGAAAAGTCCTTTTCTCCAATTGCACAGCTGAAACACGCGTCGTTTAGGGCGCGGTCACGTGGAAGCTTTCACATAGGTCACCTGACATCCTTAATTTGAGAGGCCCAGTGGTTGTACATCTCAATATTTTCGTACCTTTTCGTGAAGTGTAACGGAGGTTGCGGCTCTATATTCCACTTGTCCATCTTGATCGGTTCCAGTGAAGGGAAACCGAACTCTGGCAAACCTGAAAAGAATCGCATTCAAAACGAGCACGCAAAAGTTGATCACCACCATCTTTGAGCACCGGTAACGCGCTCTCTATCGCCGATTTGAGGCAATCATTTAAATTGGAGCTGCTCCGCTTGCACACTTGGAGGTTGTCTAAAAAACGACATTAAAAATTTTGCTCCGTAAGATCACTGTACACACTTACCCAAAATGTCGGCAGTACACAAACCGATCCAGATTGCTATCACAGAAATGCACGTTACGCCTCTCATCGCTCTGATTCCTGACCTCTTTACTGTACCATGGCTTTTTATACGTGTATGTTAAACGTGGGGAAATTACAAGGTTCTAGGAGCCTGGTCCATTGTTGGCGATTCTTTCCCATGTCCGAACTACATTCATTTCCATTATATTTGTTAGTAAAAATAGCACATTTTAAGCAACGGCTTTGATGAAATGTGCACACTGAAAAAAACGCTACACCGTGAATCTGTCAACAAGTGCAAGGCTGTGCCAAAGTCCGCTTCCACCTTTGATACGTATTGTTATCACATAGCGACAAGAGATCCAAACTCAGCACTGAACACGATCACTGAACCTGATCACTAATACTATACAGTGAAGTGGATCATTGAAACTGAACACTGATACTATACACTAAAAACGATTACTGAAACCGTGCACCGAAACTTATCAATAAAGCTGTATACAAAAAATGTATGACACTAAAACAGAACACTGGAATTGTACACTGGACCTGGCTATTCATAATGCACACTAAAACCTATCACTGAAGCTGAACACTCAAGCTGTGCACTACAATTGAACACTGAAACCGATCACTGAAACAGAGCTATGAAACTGTGCACCACAACTGAATACGCAATCTGATCACCGACAGTGTACACTGAACATGTACCCTAAAACTGAAACTAAAACTGTACGCTGAGGCTGATCACTGAAACTGAACACTGAAAGTGAAACTGGAGACTGAAACTGATGATTGAAACAATTTCTGAATTTTCGAACTCTAAAATGCTCAATGTATTTTGAGTTCGATCGAAATCTCAATTAAAAGGGACATTGCGATCGCGTCCAAGCTCCTCCAAGACGATTTCTAAGGAGGTAGTTTTCCGCACCTGAAAATTGTGACCTTTCTCTTGCGATTTCTGAATTTTCCAACTCTATAATTCTCAATCTATTTTAAGTTCGATCCAAATCTCAATTAAAAGCGAGATTATGATCGTGTCAAGCCCCTCCAAGACGATCTCTAAGAAGGTAGTTTATCGCACCTGAAAATTGTGATCTTTCCCTTGCGATTTTTGAATTTTCCAACTCTAGAAATCTCAATCTATTTTGAGTTCGATCGAAATCTCAATTAAAAGAGACACTGTGATCATGTCCAAGCTCCTCCAAGACGATTTCTAAGGAGGTAGTTTTCCGCACCTGAAAATTGTGACCTTTCCTTTGCGATTTCTGAATTTTCCAACTCTATAATTCTCAATCTATTTTAAGTTCGATCGAAAGCTCAATTAAAAGCGAGATTATGATCGTGTCAAGCTCCTCCAAGACGATCTCTAAGAAGGTAGTTTTCCGCACCTGAAAATTGTGATCTTTCGCTTACGATTTCTGAATTTTCTAGCTCTAAAAATCTCAATCTATTTTAAGTTCGATCGAAATCTCAATTAAAAGAGACATTGTGATCATGTCCAAGCTCCTCCAAGACGATTTCTAAGGAGGTCGTTTTCCGACCTGAAAATTGTGACCTTTCCCTTGCGATTTCTGAATTTTCCAACTCTAAAATTCTCAATCCATTTTGATTTCGATCGAAATCTCAATTAGAAGGGACGTTGTGATCGTGTGCAAGCTCCTCCAAGACGATTTCTAAGAAAGTAGTTTTCCGCACTTGAACATTGTGACCTTTCCCTTGCGATTTTTGAATTTTCGAGCTCTAAAATTCTCAATCTATTTTGAGTTGGATCGAAATCTCAATTAAAAGCGACATTGTGATAGTGTCCAAGCTCCTCCAAGACGATCTCTAAAAAGGTAGTTTTCCGCACCTGAAAATTGTGACGTTTCTCTTGAGATTTCTGAATTTTCCAACTCTAAAATTCTCAATCTATTGTGAGTTCGATCGAAATCTCAATTAAAAGAGACATTGTGATCATGTCCAAGTTCCTCCAAGACGATTTCTAAGCAGGTAGTTTTCCGCACCTGAAAATTGTGACCTTTCCCTTGCGATTTCTGAATTTTCCAACTCCAAAATTCTCAATCTATTTTGAGTTCGATCGAAATCTCAATTAAAAGAAACATTGTGATCATGTCCAAGCTCCTCTAAGACGATGTCTAAGCAGGTAGTTTTCCGCACCTGAGAATTGTGATCTTTTGCTTAAGATTTCTGAATTTTCGAGCTTTAAAATTCTCAATCTATTTTGAGTCCGATCGAAATCTCAAAAGAGACATTGTGATCATGTCCAAGCTCCTCCAAGACGATTTCTAAGGGGGTAGTTTTCCGCACCTGAAAATTGTGACCTTTCCCTTGCGATTTCTGAATTTTCAACTCTATAATAATTGTCATTCTATTTTGAGTTCGATCCAAATCTCAAATAAAAACAGCATTATGATCGTGTCAAGCTCCTCCAAGACGATCTCTAAGAAGGTAGTTTTCCGCACCTGAAAATTATGATCTTTCCCTTGCGATTTTTGAATTTTCCAACTCCAAAATTCTCAATCTATTTTAAGTTCGATCGAAAGCTCAATTAAAAGAGACATTGTGATCATGTCCAAGCTCCTCTAAGACGATTTCTAAGCAGGTAGTTTTCCGCACCTGAGAATTGTGATCTTTCGCTTACGATTTCTGAATTTTCGAGCTCTAAAATTCTCAATCTATTTTGAGTTCGATGAAATCTCAATTTAAAAAAAACATTGTGGCCGTGTCCAAGCTCATATAAGACGATTTCTAGGAAGTGAAACTGAAGACCGAAACTGAAAACCGAAACTGATGAAGACCGAAACTGATGAAGAACGGAACTGAAGGCCGAAACTGAAGACTGTTACTGAAGACTGAACCTGAAGACTGAAACGGAAGACTGAAGACCGAAACTGAAGACCGAAACTGAAGAACGGAACTGAAGACCGAAACTGAACACCGAGACTGGAGACCGAGGCTGAAACTGACACTGAAGACTGAAACTGGATACTGAAACTGAAGACTAAAACTGATGACTGAAACGGAATACTGAAACTGAAGACTAAAACTGAAGACTGAAACTGAAGACCGAAACTGATGAAGATCGAAACTGAGGAAGGCCGAAAATGATGAAGACCGAAACTGAAGACTGACGACCGAACCTGATAAAGACCGAAACTGATAGCTTCACGGATTGAGGGCTTGAAGGCTTAAGAGCTTGACGGTTTGAGAGCCTGAGGTTCTGAGATCTGGAGGCCTTGACGGATTGAGGAGTTGAGAGTTTGAGGGCGTCGGGGCTCGCAGGCTTGAAAGCTTAAAAGCTTCACGTCTTCACGGTTTGACGGCTTGAGTAATTGGGGGCTTGAAGGCTTGGAGACTTGAAGGCTTGTTGGCTTGATGACTCGAAGACAAGACTAAAACACGCAAATTGGTCACTCATTCTGAACTGAACTGAAAACTGGACTCGAACACTAAAACCAAACATTGAAACTGAACGCTGAAAGACCGAAATTGACGGTTTCGCGAATTGCACGCTTGAGGGATTGAGAGCTGGATGGATTAAATGCTTGGCTGCTTGACGAATTGACGGTTTGAGGGCTTGAAGGCTTGGCGGATTGTGAGATTGACGGTTTGAGCACTTGAGAGCTTGAAGGCTTCGCGGTTTGACGGCTTGGGGGCTTGAAGGCTCGGAGACTTGAAGGTTAGGAGGCTTCAATACTGAGGACTGAAGACTGTTGGCTTGAAGGTCTGAAGGCTTGAGCGCTTGAAGAATTGGAAGCCGGAAAGCTTGAAGGCTCTCAATCTGCCTCCTTTCCCTCTTTTTGAATTTGCTAACTACAAAGTGGCGTCTATCCGGTTTACTATTACTACATTTCCCTTTTTCTTCATTTTTAATAGTATACAAGATTCCTGATATTCACTCCGACCCATCTCTTCTTCGCCCGAGCTTTCCGTGTGCTTATTCCAAAGTACCTAATTTTGTTACCTTTGCTCAAAGTGAACATAACAACCTGGAGATTTGAAGACCTGAGGATCCAAAGACCTGAAGTTTGCTGAAAACCTGACGACCTGAAGACTTGAGAAAGCTTGAAGACTGATAGAAGCTGAAGACCGAAATTGAAGACTGAAGCTGCACCCCCATGCAGTTTTGTTAAGGGATACAATAGTTTTGCAGAGACAAATTTGTTGGTATCAGCAGTTCTTGCGTTCTTGGAACTACAGTTTGTGGCAGAAAACCTTGTACAAGGCGTTTGATCCCTTTTATCTGCTCTACTATCACCCATTAGCTTTTCCTTGGAGCTTCCTTTGAAGAAGTATCGTAGTAGGATTGGTCATCCAAATGTAGTTGACAAACATTTTTTTGACATACAGACAACCCCTAATTTGACATAAATAAAAATCACTGTACTTCATATAAAAAGTCCTTCTGCGAAATAGACTTGGTACTTGCCAAGATAGTGTTTCAAAATTGAACAATTGGAGTTGAAAATTGAACTAAAGTGATGGCTACCATTATTGCAATGGATTGTTTGGGAATTGCTGCTTCCTGCACGTACTTTCCTAAGTGTCTTAGTGTATGCAACAGGCAACGTGCCTACCCAACGAGAAAGTTTTTTTTCTTCCAAACCAATTGCACAATGTAACATTGGATTCCGAACCAAATTGTTGTATTTTGCTCGTGGTTCGCGATACAATTTATTTATTAATTCGGTCTGCGAGGGCCGAAACATATACTTTCGGCCTGACGACCACTTCTTCGCGTGGTTACTTCTTTCGTAGTTGAAGACTGAATCTCACAAAATCTTCTCGGGATTAATCCCTACCTTCCTTTTGTATTAATTAACGCCCTTTCAAAATGGCGCCTAGTGAACCGCTCTCTTTCAAGAGCTAATCGGGTCGCTGTAACCTTATTAGAAACGGCTCTAATTGTTTAACATTTTAATAATTGATTAACAATTACCCTGTCATTGAAAATTTTAATTAATACTTCATTAAATTAATGTTAGTTTCGCGGTCATCATCTCTTTTTCATCCTGGACGCGTTCATTAGGTACCTGACGAAGTGTTGCGCAGGCAGTTCCACCGACAGGGACAGAACCAACCCGTAAAGTAGCGAAAGAAGCAGCGCACCAGAGAACTCGTTGACCTAAAATATTCATAAGACATAATTTAACATTCGTTACTCTTACCAAGAGCGTATATCCGCTAACGTACGGAGTAACTCGACCGGTATTCACACTGAAATGCACCACGTGTAAGTGCACCAGGTACATGGCGAACGTAAGTCTTGAGATGACCACGAACAGTGGGTTGGATAGAAAACTGGTGACAATTCCTCCGTGTCCGATCTCGCAAACGTAAATTACGCATCCGACTGCCAGCAAGTTTGCTGGTCGAAGTAGTGCTAGCGCGAAGCTGTTCTCGAATCTGTCATAACTGGAAACAACAACACGATTTTCGCCAAACAGACATCCGACGTAGAGAATGATTCCGGCAAGCATGAGTGGTATGGCCACATTCTGCAAGAAGAAAATACCTAGTACGTTTAAAGAATTCTTTCGAGAAGATTTTCTACACAATTTTGAGAGCATTCTTCAACAGATCTTCGCGACATTTAAAACTATCTTCAAAAAAGAAAATCCTTAGAAATTTAGAAATTCAGATCCTTCAAAGGGGTTTCAAAAATATTTCAGGTGATCGAGTCGAAGGTAAGCAATAGTGATAGCTTTAAAACCAGTGCCGAGCGAGCCGAAGGCGAGTTCGGCACAAACCTAGGCAGAGTAAAGGTCTGATGGGTTAAGTCGCCTTCGAGTCATCCCTCAGGAGTGCAAAAAGGGGAAGGATCTTGTAAGGATCCGCTTACCTTTTTAATGATTGATGTTTTCTCCGCTTTCACGTTGAACATCAGGCTTCCCAACAAAAATCCAATTAACCAAGACGAAGCCTTTGTGGGCACGAAGTAATAGTAGTACTTGAGGTAAACGTCCTCGTTTCTAGAGGTGGTTGAAAATCGAGAGCCGCTTCAGTACCGTGTTAATGTTTACCTACCTACAATCATTGGAGGCGCACATCTTCAATTTCCAAGCGAGCGTGAATGTGGTCGCAATAGAAAGCAAGGTCAGTCCGGCGGTTACTGCCATAGTTTCCCTTCTCCATCGCGCCAAAGGAATCAGCAGTATTGGAGAGAGTACGTAGAGCTGAAAATCAATGGAGAGGTACCAGGTTGTCCCGATACACTGATATTGGAGAAGTTCGCCGAACGTCTGTGCTTTTTCCACTGAGTAGATGACGTAATTCTGGATGTACAGCAGGTATGACCACCAATTCGTTTTACACGGTCTGATAAAGTCCTTCGACTGGTACCATAAGGGCCCAGATCCGATGTATCCGTACCACGTTATTGTAAACAGTAGCATCGCCACCAGTGACGGAGTAAGCCTAAAACTGTTCTTCCAAGGGGGCGAGAACTACACTTCAGGGCGGCTTCATACCTCAGGTACCTTTCGACGTAGTACGAAGCAATATTCACTTCGGCGCCCTTTGACTTCCTCTGTAGAAAGTTGTATGAAACTAGACATCCGGAAATTAACAAAAAAACGTCAGCTACAATGGATAGGCGAATTATGGGGCCATTTTCTGCTTGGTGTATCCACTAAAGAAATACCATGAGTGTTTTAGATAACCAATGGGGGATTTTTACGTATGAGTAGTAATACGTATTCCTGGTGAGGTGCTCGAAGCGGTCGTTGGTTACGTGTACAAGGATCACTGCGGTCATTGCAAGTGTTCGAATTCCGCTCAGGGACTGGATTTCGTTAGGGCCGGGTTTCTTAATGGAAAAGATTAGTTTTCCATTCGACCACAATGAAAATGACTTTAGTGCCCAATGCGATTTGCCTAAAACTGAAGTAAAGTTTAATTGGCCACCTGGACCCAGGGGTACCTTTCAAACAGATCTCGTAGATTGTCGATGCTACTATTAGAGCTAGGATAACACAAGCAAGTGCCCTAAAAAGTTCTCAATGAGAAATCGCGGCGGGCGAAGTCTGACACTCACAAAGTAACGTAGCTTCCAGCTGTAAGGCTGTACTGGGTCGCTTTCGTCTGGCAGGTGCTTTCGGTTATGGTCAAATTCAGCCCAATCCCTTTCGTGACCTTTTCCAGATCCGTGGCCGAACACGAGCTCGGATAACAAACCGCGAACTCCATTTTGTTCATCTCCAAACCGTCGTGCAGTAGTCTCAGAGTGGCATTATCGACCTGGAAAGTGTCCCAAAAATACTTCAATCTACAAGCTATGATAACGCTACTACTCGCCGACTATCGGATAACGCGCTAAGTTCGGGTGCTCAGGAAGATCGAGCAGTGGAACGTGCTGGCGACGAGGTGGAAATATCGAACGTGTAGCTTATGGCAGCCAACCTGCAGGGGTCAGGGTTGGATTGGAGGTACAAAACAGAACCGCAGGAGGGAGTGGGCCAGACTGCAACTGACCACGTGTGAAGGTAATCGGCTCTACGTGCGTGGGAATAAAAAGACTACGAACTAGTCGCTGAGAAACCTAAGGTGGGGTGCCGGATACGCCCTCTACTACCTCAAAAAGTCGGAGCACAACCAAAATCCGTACCTGGCAAGGGCGAGCTTACTGATGAGGAGGAACCCAATTGGGCGCACGGGCTTGAATCCGGAGTTCTGGAATAAGGTCTACGGGCGAATGAACAAGAAGGACGCCTGGAGAGTGATACCGGTGCTGCTGATACCGAAGAGCAGGGAGGGGGGAGTTGATTAAGCTGCGCAGAACTAACCCCATGATCTACAGAACTACTTCCAGGACGAGTTCGACATAAGGACCCTGATCGAGGGTGTCAAAATAGAAGTGACCCTTAGTAAAACGGCTCTTGTAGCATAATCCGCAAACGTCCCCTCATTTAAAAATCCTCCCCCACTCTGGACCATGTACAGATCCTTTCAATTACTTCAGCTGGCTCCCAACGCCATCCTCTTCAGAGGCTACAAAACCTTAAAAAAACAGTTCCCTCAAGGGAGGACGTGCCTAATTGTTATGAACCATTTTGCCTCCACTCTATTCATTCTTCCCACCCACTTCCAACACCCAAAATGTGTAGCCGACACCGTCCACTTCCCAAACATCACTATTAACTTCTTTAGTTTTTACAATCCCCCAGATACCAACCTTCCGGATGATCTATTTTACTATATCTCCACCCTCCGCCACACATTTTTTTTGTTGGGGGATCTTAACTCCCGTAACGCCCTGTTTGACGACTCTACCTGTAACCTCAACAGCATTAATATCTCCAATAAACCTAATATCACTTCCTATCTGTCGTACCCCAACCTCAAATCTAACAGACCCTGGAGGCACCAAGACACACTGCAATCACCCGACCTGTCTAACTACGACCTCGAGTTTAGGGTGGTGGTTGAACAGCTGATAGGTACACCGCAAGATCCGGAAGCAAATTCCAAAATCATCAATTTGCCACCTTCGAAGAGCCCCAGCGCGAAATACGGAAAATGGAAGAAGTCGATCCACCACCCACAAAAGCGGAGACGCAACCCCAAGGTGCGATGTCTTTACTGTAAGCTAATAGAATGCCGAAAGAGGAAGCGGGTGGAAAAAGCCGCACCACCCACAACAGCCTCTTCGGCAACTCTAGCCATGACACCACTCACCACCAGATCGTCCGTCTACTCCCTCTTGTGCTTTGCTTTGGATGCGGAAAGCCCGGAGTGATACGCAGCTAATGTCCAAACTGCCGAAACATCGGTATCGCAGAAGTTGACCTCTTTCCAAGGGACGAAACCAGACCGGACACGAGAGTCGGACGCCCACTTCTTCTTCTCCTTAGCACCGGCACCATATAGTTCGCTAGCAGCCCCGGAACCAGGAAAAGCCTCACCCTGCCGAACACATTTACTCCACCACCGAAAGAGTCATTGGCTGGTGGTATGGGGCACTTGCGAAGTTTCGAGGATAGGTGGAAGACATCCACGCACCGCCGGCACGCAAGAAAGCTGCACCATCGCGATCGATTTACCAATCCGGCCGGCGAACGACGTCCGTCAAGGCCAACTAGCGGACCCGGAAGTAAGACTATAAACCATTTCGAAAGTCATCGAAGCAAAATCCTACAGTGCACCTTTAAACACCTGCGCCGACAAGTGGATTTGAGCGTCGACCTTTTCGGACCTCCCCCCGAGGAAAAAATGAAACATGGATCCTAATCAGAGGTTGGAACCGGAACGGAAAAGAACCGGTACCGAAACCGTTACTTAAAAAGTTAAAATAACCGGAACCGATACCGGTACCGTTATTATTAGTGTCAAAGAATCGGTATTTTTCGGTTCCCTCTTTTTTGTAGGTAGAGTCGACACGTTGCGGTTCGCGAGAGGGAAATGTGTGTCATACTGTTGCTCTTAAAATTTGCTTCTGAAGTGTTGGTGTTTTCTTTTTTTCTTAGATCTAATTTCTATCAACTTATATTTTAGAGCGACTAATACCTATAAAATGAATTAAAAACAGTAAGTAGGTTGAAGAGAGTAAAAGGAAAGGAACTACTGCTGAATAAAAGGAAAGTAGAAAAAGACAGGCAATTGACAGAGGTGAAACGAACACGTAAGCTGAAAATACAAATATCAATCAAATTTGAAAAATATGTTTATGCAAAAGAACAATGTACTTTAATTGTGTATTATTTATTTTCTATAATTAATAATTTATATTTTTTAATAACAATGTTATTTATTTATGTTGGAACCCTTAAAAACCTAAAAAAAAACTGAAACCGGAACCGAAAATTACTGACTCCACAGAACCGGAACCGGTACCGGGACCCTTAAAAAATGATTCTACTTAAATTAGTGCGGAACCGGAGCCTATATTTCGTATGGGTTCCAACCCCTGATCCTAACTAGATCCCAATGTGGAGTGACTTAAAGCATCGATCTAAAAATAAACGTGCAACCTCACCCGCAGACGATTCGATTAGTACTGACTGTAGCCGTACCGAGACAGAGGCTTCCACTGGCACTCCTCATGTCCTCCGCTACACAAATATTCATACTCGCACCCGAATTTGAACCAGGGTCACTTAGTACCGCAGTTGTGCGTCTACGCCACTGGGAGAAAAGCTCTTTAAATATCATTTTTAGCGCATTTTTTAAGAATTAAAAAAATTTGCTATTGTTTGCGTTTTGTCCGTCCGTCCGGACCCACTTCTGCCGTTCAAATTTCGCTGTCTAAAAGCCCCCCCCCCCCCACCTGAGATGCTGTTTTTGAAAGTAAAACGTGCATTATTTACATTATTTATTATTATTTATATACAAAAACCAATTGGTTTCATATTTTGCATACGCATGCCTTTAGTGGTGCCAGGTTAAACTGTAGAAAATGGAGGGGGGGGGGGGTGTAAACACATGTTCTAACCTTCATGGTATTCTAATGGAAGGTCTAAATTGGTTTGTATACAAACTATAACTTTCCCGTGCGACTCTTTTTGGACATCAGTGGGCGACGGCGACGGGGCTTGAGGGGAGGGGGGGGGGGGGTTAAAAATTAATGTTATCTCATTGTATTCTAATTAAAGGTCTCAACGAAAGGAACCGTTTTTTACCAACTTCTGACCTTCTTTCTATCTTCTTATCAAAGTACGGAGTCGAGGGGGGGGGGGGGAATCTAGTTGTATCCTTCATGGTACTCTAATGAAAGGTCTCAACGAAAGGACTTAATTTCTACCAACCGTAGCCCTCCTCCTCGACCTCTTATCGTGATCGGGTATATTCCCTTATACGTCAAGAACGGATTGTCGGAAAGGGGTACTCACAAAGGGCGATTGATATTTCCACTGCAGAAATGCACTGCATGCGGTAAGAGTCCGCTAATCAAAGGCACCCCTCTGCTCCTTATCCTATATGACCCTTCCGATCGATTTTGACTTTTAGTACGGGCCATTTGGATTTATTTGAGAGCATTTGAGAGCACATAAGGGGTAGTGCTGACATACGCTCTTCGGCTAAAGTCGACTAAATTTCAATTATTGAAGCATTAGAATAAGTAAATTATAAGGATAAAGTATCAGAAATTGGTCAACCACAAAAAAGATAATAATCATCCTTCAAAAACGACCTTCCTGAAAACCGAGAGCGTACTCACGTATAGACTAGGAACGTAAAGCGACGCCAAACAGTACTTTCCAGTTAATCCATGATCGTTGGTACGCGCAATTCGTAAGCACTCATCAAATGATCCCAATTCAGCGAGATTGCCATCCAGTACACCAGATGGCAGCTTTCCGTTGGCGTCGTACACTAAAAAAAAGTCGATATCAATTGGAAAACACCTTCTGGTATCATTACTGTTCAACGCCCACTGTCTCCCGTCTTGAAGATCAGTTGCAAATTGAGCTAGCTCAACACGACATCGGTGCCGTAGGGAAGTCTCATTGGATAAGTATCCCAGCACATTTCTGGAGAATATTTTCGGCGAGGTGAGCACGCCGAACCGTTCGCTTAGATAACTGGCACGTACCACCCCAGTCGCCAAAACGACCACTATTAATACTAACAACTGATCCATGGTCACAGGCGGTGACGAGTACTAATTGATTTTTCGTAGAGTTAGAAACTCTAAGGGTTTGATATCGGTTTACCGCAATTTCCACACTAACCTCATCGGCAATAACGTAATCCAACAAATTAATCTATCGCAATTAACGTTAAACCATATATTTATATAAATTGCTCTTTTTTTCATATCCGTCCGTTTACTTTCGTACCTTTTCTAACATTCTTCTCGAATTACTCTCAATAGTCTACCCCACCAAGGACTTGCTCCGATTATACCTAACAGACAAAACTGATACCCCCTCGATGGTACGACGGACTGAGTTGTCATAGCTGCATCGCCAAGTGTTGGAATTGCAAAGGTCCTTGCTCATCTGTAATGAACTGTAACTCGAGAAGTTACAGTATATACTTGGAGGTTTGTGAGGCGATGCTAAATAAAAAGCTATTGTTTTTTATGGAATATATTTACAATACAAACAAAATGGTAGCCGAAGTGCACGCGGCGAGCGCTTTCGTCGGAGCGAGCGCGATTGCGGTCTTCTGCCTGGTGGAGCGTGGCGCGAGGTGGTTATTTTTACTGTCTATTGCGAATTAAAAGATCAGTAGTTAAATATTGTTTGCTGCACAAAAAATGTGCTACAGTTTCTAACATTTGTAGAAACTGAGCGATGTTTACACATCATATTCATCGCACAAATGTCGCATTAATTATTGTGTATTACCAGATGTTGCTTCAAATCGCGTTTACGATATGCTACATAACCACAAATGTCACACTTAAACTGTCTAGAAACCTTGTGCGATAAGACATGTTGCCTCAAACACCACTTTCTATTGGTTGCATATTCACAAAGGTCACATTTAAAATCTTTAGAGACTTTGTGCGTCAAGAGATGAAAATTCAAGCTCCACTTGCTACACGTTGCATAATCACAGATGTCACATTTAAAACCTTTCTTATTATTGTGCCTTAAAAGATGTTCTTTTAAATAGCTGCTCCGATAGGTTGCATAATCACAAATGTCACATTTAAAATCTTTCGATCCGTTGTGCGATAGCAGATGCATTTTTAAATTGCGTTTTTTGGTTGTCGCGTAATCACAAACGTCACATTGGAAATCTTTCTTATTAGTGTGTATTAAAAAATGTTGTTGCAATTGGTGTTTGCGATACGTCGCATAATCACAAAGGTCACATTTAAAATATTTAGCTGCATTGTGTGTGAGAAGATGCATTTTTAAACATCTTTTGTGGTTTGTAGCGAAATCGCAAATACCACATTTCAAATCTTTCAATCCATTGTGTGATAGAAGATGCATTTTTAAACAGTTTTTATAGTTTGTGCCGTAATCACAAATGTCACATTTATACACTTTAGAGTCATAGTGCCGTAAAGAGTGAATTTTTAAACTGCGTTTAAGGTGGGTGGCATAATCACAAATGTCACATTTAAAATCTTTTAGAGTTCTGTGTTTTAAGACGTGTTCTTTCAAACTTCTCTTAGAAACTGCGGTATAATCACAATTGGCACAGTTGAACTGTGGAGAAAGGTGCACCTTATTCCCATTGTACTCATCACTTTCCTGTTCTTCTTTAATCAGCGCCAAAAAATCATTGCTTATAAACATGGCCCTTTCGAGAGACACATTTATTTGTTCTTCTTGTTCGGGTTCAATTTTAACTAATGCAATGCTCTCTCCCATGGCTATCTATAGCACTTAAAGTTTTAAGTTTAAAGATCACTAACCCCCCACTCCAAAGAATTACGAAATGAAAATAAACGGTTTGTTGAACCTAACCTAAAGTTCATACGTTGACAATGTAGGTACAGTGCGGTCATTTAAGAGAGAATTTGTCTATAATGAAACATTGATACGTAGTAACCATTCTCCATAGATATTTATATATATATATATATATATATATATAATTTATGTATGTACCTAAGCCATAAAAATAAATTTGGGAAAGACAATGTTCGTTGCTAACTTATTGAATAAACTCGCTCTTTAATGACCACTCTGTACTTTTGGTGTCGATCTTGTACCAACTGCCAGATCAATTGATTGTGTATTTTCATTTCTTTGAAAATTTCTTAAACATAGTGGCAGAGGTAATCCAATCCAGTGTTTTTTGTCGCTAAACTAAAATATTTGTTGCCATGGAAGACACCATTGCATTTGTTAAAGTTGAACCAGAACAAGAAGAAGAAATAAACGTGTCCCTCCAAAGGAACATTTTTATAAGCAATGACTTTTTGGCAAAGATAAAAGGAGAAGAGAATATAAAAACTAGTGAAGAATATTGCAAAGACGAGTACAATGGGGGTGAGATGCCCCCATACAATGAGCAAGAAATGCAGCAACAAGAGTGTACCGTGACAAATACTGAACCAAATTTTAAAAGACACCTTTTGACGAACCTCTTTAAATGTGCCCATTGTGATTATGCGACAAACCGTAAAAGCAGTTTAAAAATGCATCTTGTATCTCACAATAGTTCAAAAGATTTTAAATGTGACCTATGTAATTACGCAACCAATAGAAAATGGAGCTTGAAACTTCATCTCTCAGCGCACGAAGGTTCCAAAGATTTTAAATGTGACATTTGTGATTATGCGACCAATAGAAAATGGAGTTTGAAACTTCATCGCTTATCACACGAAGGTCCCAAAGATTTTAAATGCGACATTTGTGATTATGTAACCTATCGTAAGGACGATTTAAGGCGACATATCTTGAGACATAGCACATCGGATTTTAAATGTGGCTTTTGCGATTATGCGACCTATCGCAAAGGCCATTATAAACGGCATCTCTTAACACACAATCAAACACACAATAACAAGAAAGACTTCAAATGTGACATTTGTGAATACACAACAAGCTATAAACACAGTTTAAAAATTCATCTTCTATCACACACCGGATTTAAAGATTTTAAATGTGACATTTGTGATTATGCAACGAATAGAAAATGGAGTTTGAAACTTCATCGCTTAACACACGAAGGTCCCAAAGATTTTAAATGTGATATTTGTGATTATGCAACGTATCGTAAAGGCGATTTAAGACGACATGCCTTAACACACAATGCATTAGGTTTGAGACCAGTGTCGCGTACAGTTTTAAAATGTGACATTTGTGATTACACTACGTATCTTGAATCCGTTTTGAAACAACATTTGTTATCGCACAAAGGTTCCAATGATTTTAAATGTGACATTTGTGAATACGAAACCAATAAGAAATCGAGTTTGAGACAACATCTCCTATCACACAAAGTCTCTAATGATTTAAAATGCGACATTTGCAATTACAAAACGGATCGAAAAGAGAATTTAAGGCGACATATTTTGACCCATAATGTGTGGGATTTTAAATGTGACATTTGCGAATATGCAACAAATACAAAAGGGAATTTGAAAAAGCATGTCTTCTCACACAAAGCTGCAAAAGACTTTAAATGTGACATCTGTGATTATGCAACCCATCGTAAAGACCATTTAAGGCGACATACTTTAACACACAATGGCTCAGGTTTTAAATGTGACATCTGTGATTATGCAACCTATCGTAAGTCTGATTTAAGGCGACATATCTTAACTCACAATTTGTCGGTTTTTAAATGTGACATTTGTGAATATGGAACAAATAGAAAATGGAATTTTAAACTTCATCTCCTATCACACAAAGGTTCTAAAGATTTTAAATGTGAGGTGTGTAATTATGCAACCTACCGAAAAGGTCAATTAAGACGACACATCCTAACACACAATGGAGCGGACTTTAAATGTGACATTTGTGAATATACAACAAATAGAAAATGGAGTTTGAAACAACATCTCCTATCACACAAAGTTTCTGAAGGTTTTAAATGTGACATTTGTGATTATGTAACGTCTTGCAAACGAGATGTAAGGCGACACATTTTGACGCACAATAATAAGCAAGAATTTAAATGCAACATTTGCGAGTATTCAACGAATCGGAAATGGAGTTTGAAACTTCACATCTTATCGCACAATGGTTCTAAAGACTTTAAATGTCACATTTGCGATCATGCAACGAATAGGAAATGGAGTTTGAAACTTCATCTCCTATCACACAAAGGTTCGAAAGATTTAAAATGTGACATTTGTAATTATGCGACCTATCGTAAAGGCAATTTAAGGCGACATATATTAACCCACCATGGATCGATTTTTAAATGTGAGATTTGTGATTATGTAACGAATCGTAAAGGCGAACTGAAACAACATATCTTGATCCACAATGCTAAGAAAAGACGTTTGTGATTGTGCCACAAATGTGGAGGGTAATAGCGTATTCCAGAAGATTCCTGTTCATTTCAATTTGTTTTAAAAGTAGAAGCATTGTATCTTATGCATAGTTTGTGTAAAGTCTAAAATCGTTTATCATTATATATATCACCTATTTATTTTTGTTCTTTTTTTAAGTGGGCGCGGTTTCAGCCACGAATGCTCTACCAACCCAACCCACTAAAGGTACATTTACAAATACTCTGATCCCGGATTTGAAAAATTCTCTCGAAAATAATCATAACTATTCCATCCTACATCTAAACCTAATAAAAAATCGACGATCTTTGCGAAAACGTAATTGGTAACAAAACACTGATTCGCTAATATTATTTTCGGCCAGAAACGATTGTTCAACATAATTCAATAATAACGGTAAAACGCAACTCAAGGTCACGGCCGGTTTTGAGGTAACGCAAGTTTCTCAATGGAAAATTAATACAAATATGAGCTCTAGAGCGTTAACGTGAGCTTTGCGGTTGGTAAAAATAATCATCGAGGATGCTTTTCAACGCCAAGTATATAGCAACATACGACCTAAGTATATTGTCGAGGTTTAAAGCCAATTTTCTCGTTAATACGTAGTTTCGCTTCAAATGTGCAAAAAGTATATCTCAAACACACACACTACACTTTCTTGCACACCAATGTCGAGCTAGCCGAAGGCGAGTTCGGCATAGCTTAGGCCCTCCTTTAGACTTGCCTTTCTACGTCCATGTCCGTAATGTAGGTTTTAGCGTTAATGTTGAACATGTTATTAACAGATCCAAACCAACGATATATTTTAAGGTTTAAGGTAATATCCTGACTGAATCCATCTGCCATCATTGGCAGAAGGCGCATGGACGAAGAAGGCTTTTTATTTGGTGGTGAAGGAGTTGGTATAATCATTCTTTATTGACAAGTATAATTTTGTAACAAATTCCTAGTAATTATTTAACAATTGACACTACTTTAGAATCAGTCCGAATTCCACAAGGTTGCCACCATCATTTCGCTTTGTTCTTAGAGATGTTCATTAAGGCTCTGACGTAATGCTGTGCCGGTAATTCTATCGTCAATGCTAAAAGTAAACCTACAAGAAGTGAAAGAAGTAGCATGCCGGCGAAATCGTTAACCTAAGACGTAGATATAAATGTGTAAAATCTAAAATTTGTGATTGTTACCAAGAGCGTGTAGTTGCTCACGTAAGGAGCAACCCGAATGGAATTCAAATTGTACAGCACTACGAAGCTGTGCACCAAGTAGGTGGAGAACGACAGTCTTGAAACTACCACGAAGACAGGGTTGGCCAAAAAACTGGTGACGATACCTTAAAACACCTGTGTTTAGCTAGTACCTGAATGCGGTGTTTTACCTCCTCGTCCGATTTCGCAAAGGTAAACTATACACGAAACTGAAAGTAACATTGTCGGTCGGAGCAATGCCAAAGAGAAGGCGTTCTCGAGCCTATCACGCTCTGAAATAACCACGTGGCACTCTCCAAAGGTAGTCGCGACGTAGACGATTACTGCGGCAACCAGTAGGGGTATCGCCGATTTCTGAAAGAAACACAGTGTCTTGTTGGACATTATTAAAATCAAAAAGCTAGACGAACCCAGATCCCCCCCCCACCCCGGAACCACTCTACCTAGTTATATTCTTTGCTTGAGGACCACTAAATCTAACTTTGTTTGAGGGAAAATCCCTGCACCGGCAGGGAGGGGGGGGGGCAACATCGATGGTCCTCTCTGAAAAATTATCAAGACCGCCCTGAAGATGTTATGTAGAAAAAGAACCGGCAATGAAAATTTGAGTGTACCATTCATGCGGGATATGCCATACTCCACAAAAAATTCTAGCACTTGGAGCATGAGGGGTACCTACAAGATAGATCGTGGAAAGAGAAAAATTGATTTTCTTCCTTTAAGCGATTTGGAGGAAACGTAGTACCTAAGGGTCTCACCCAGCAAAGAAACTTCGACGGTCTTCTCTCAGATTCCTAGAACTTACAATTATGATAATCTTTGCGAGAGGATCATCCCCTTTTTTGAGCAAATTTCATGGATAATGTAACACCAGGGGGTTATGGAATACCCCACCAGTAATCGCAAGATTTTATGATAGGTGTAGAGAAATGTTCTACATTTTTGAAAAGATACTATTGAATATAACACTTGTGATTTGGGGGGATGTAATGCTTCTTAGAAACGTAAGATGTGCTTTTTGATAAAATAGAAGAGTTTTTAAGGCCGATCATTTTTATGGAAAATGCAACACCGAGGGGGTCTGGGGGTTATGGAATAACCCAAAATGTTATGATGGGTGTAGAGAAATGGACATTGAACCTTTTTTTGCTCCGGGGTTGGAGGGTTTCTCTCCTGCGGGGAATTTCCTGGGGGGGGGGGGGTCCATACCCCCAGACCACCCGGTTCAACATTTTTGAGAAGATGCTATCGAATATAACACCCCAGGCTTGCTGAGTAGTCCTTAGAAAAGCAAGATTTAAGGGTGCTTTTTGAAAAAAGTTTTTACCTGTGATCAATTTCATGGAGAATATAACATAGGGGGGTCTGAGAGGGTATGGAATAACCCCCAGCGCCTGCAAGATCTTATGATATCTAGACAAATAAGCCTTGCATCTTTTTTCTCTTGGGGCATATTTCCTGAGGGGATTCCATAACCCCCACACCCTGTGTTGTAGAGTTTTCAAATAATACTATCGGATATACCACTCGAGACTTGGGGAGTAGGAATGTTCTTTATAAAGGCAAGATTTAGGATGGTTTTTGGAGCACTTTAACATGATTTTTTAGAGAGGGATCATATTCATGGAGAATGTAACACCATCCTCTCCAGCCCACGAGAATCTTATGATAGTAGTAGGAAAAGGAATACCGAACCTTTTTTCCTTGGGTGTATGGACGCCCCGGGTGTACATTTTTCCCAAAATGCACTATAATTTGGAACAAGGGACTATCCAACGTAACAGCAAGGGCCTGTGGGACATGAAATACTCGTCAGGAAAAGAAAATTGGATGGGCCTTGTGATCCATTCCCCCGGTCCCCCCGGATCTGCTTACTTACCAAAAATGTTTAGTGCTTGGGTACGTCATAATTTCCCCTGATTCTACATTTTGGAGAAAGTACTGTCGAGTATAACACCCAAAGATAAAGTTTATCTTACCTTCTCCATTATTCCAACTTTGTCCGTCTTCACCTTGAAAATAAGCGCTCCCAACAAAAATCCAATTAACCAAGACGACGCCTTCGTGGGTAGAAAGTAATAGTAGTACGTGAAAAAACTGGGTTCGTTTCTACGGGGCATTAAAGTATGAAAGCGGCTTTAAAAGGCGTAAGTACTTACCCGCATTCATTTGAGGCGCACATGTTTAGTACAAGGGAAAGTGTGAATGTGGCGCCATTGAAAATAGCGCCAAACCAGCGGTTACCACCAGGGTTTCTTTGGGCCAGCGTTTTAGAGGGAGTAGGAGAATGGGTGAAAGTATGTAAAGTTGAAAGTCAACTGAAAGGTACCACGTAGGCCCCACGCACTAAAATAGGTGGTGTATAGATGGAGCCACGGTTCATCTCTTACCATTAAAGAAGTAGGAAAATAATTTTGAATGTACAGCAGATATGACCACCAGTGTGTTAGGCACGGATGAATGGATAGGTCAATTAGGTACCATTGCGGTCCAGAACCAACGCATCCATACCAGGTTATTGCAAACAGGAATATCGCCAGGAGTGCCGGAGTGAGCCTAGAAGAATGGTTCCACTAAATGTCAAAATGGAGCCATCATACCTCAAATATCTTTCAATGTAGTAGGGAAGAATTTTGAAACTTTGGCCTCTTAGACATTTCTGCAGGAAGTTGAACGAGACAAGACATCCAGAGAGCATTAAGAAAATGTCGACTGCATACACAGTTGGTATTAGCGGTCCATTCTTCACTTGATGTATCCACTAGAAGAAATATTTGAATAGGTAAACCAAGGGATCGCTATTTACATATGAGTAATAATACGTGTTTCTTTTTAGTCCTCCAACACGGTAGCTGAATATGTGCGTGACGATGACCATAGTCATGGCAATAGTTCTGATGCCATACAAACTGCGGATGTCATTATCGCTAGGGGTTGTGTTTTCGAAAATTTGTCTTCCATTGGCCCGCAACGAAAATGCGTGTAGTGCCCAATGTGGTTTTTCTAAAATTGCATGAACTCAACTTCTCGAAGCCGTAATAGTTTGCGCATACCTTCGCAAGCGAAGTCATAAATCGTTGAGACGACAATCAGAAGTAGGATAATACAGGCGAGTGTCCTAAATTTTTGTATTTAGATCGATGGTCGCGCTCCAAACCGATACTTACAGCGTTACATAGCTTCCCGCGGTGGTTTTGTCCTGGGTTGCTTTTGTTTGGCAGCGATTTTCCGTTACGGTCAAATTGAATCCAATTCCCTTCATTACGGTTTGCAGATCGGCAGCTGGACAGGAGCTTGGAAAGCAAACAGCGAAGTCCGTTTGGTTAATTTGCACCCCGGCGTGCATTATTCTTGTCGTCGCGTTGTTAACCTACGGGCATATTAAGTTTTGGGAGTCGCCATGACCGTGGGGTATGAAACATTCGTCAGAAAAAGAAGGTTCGATGGTTTTTTGGAGAAAAACCCATCAGGAGATTCCTTAGGGCTCACCGCTTTGACGTAGGACCTAGCACCTGGGGGGAGGAGGTTCCTGTTGTAAAAATTTCAATGGTTCAGTGTTCATAGTGTAGGGTATAAGGACTACAGGCGTCATGGGAAGAGTGCAGCACCGCACAGATTCTGGAGTAACCCCTCCCGCGTTTAAAAATGTTACTGTGGTCATAGGAAAAGGAACGTTGTATCCTTCTTTTTCTAGGACCCCAGATCCCCAAAATGTTTAACTAAACTCAGACTTCCAGGAGTTCAAAGGGTGAATGCGCCGGTAGCCTACTGGAGGGAGAGTTTCGTTGCGCTCGAACCCGAACCTAAGAACCTGTCGGAGGCCCTTGCCAAAGAGTCAAATCGGTTATGTGCGCGCCCCCTACCCCGCGACGCCATGTTTTCGTGGCAATCGCAACGGCGGATGTAGAGAGTTAAGACCTTCGGAGCGATATGCAAATACGCCATGTCGCCTCTGACAAATTCGACCATATTTAAAGACAGCGCTACACTCAGAGGCGGTGGTGGTGCTAACTGAATGTCGCCACTTCGGGAGGCTCTGCAGCAGGAACCATCGAACAGGGGAGGCAGCTGAGCGAAGGATCCTCGCAAGAGGCCTTGACCGCGACCAGTCGAGGAATCGAGGGTAACCTCGATAACATTGGTACTAAGGGAGAGGACTCGCCCACCTGAGCTGGCTAGCAGGGTGTCCTCCCGTTAGGCTTCGGACTCATAAGGTCTGATAGGCCGCTAGGGTGTAGGTGGAGGGAACGATGTTTTTCCAATGCGCGCATTGGCTGGGCTGATCGCTTTGAAGGAGAATGTAGGATCTGGTGGTATGCAATACCCCAGAAAGAGTGTTACTGATGTAGTTGTAGGTAAAAGAGCGCTGTGCCCTTTTTTCTGGAGAGTATTTCATACCTCCTAGACGCCAAGGTGTCCCCTAAAACTTATAGTGTTTTTGTGTTGTTTTTGAAAAGGGACCATCTAACATAACACCAGGGGCATCAGGAAAGGAAGATTCGATGGTCTGTTATGAAAAACTATCACCGGTAGCCATTAGGGGTAAAGGTATTCCATTCCACCCAGACCTCTTGGTTTTACAAAGTATTTAGCGTTTTCAGCAGTTTAACCATAATTTACGCTTTGAGGAAAAATGTAAGACCGGGGTACTAAGGAATTCCCCCTAGTGCGTGGGCACGAAGGTCTTATGATAGCTATAGGAAAATGAACCTTGGGGGTTTTTCTCCCTGTGGAGTATTCCGTACTCCCCAGCCCTCCGGTTCAACATTCTACCCTAGTTACTGCCTGCTTTTAACTTTTTAAAAGGTATCAGGAGGCTGTGCATAGAATGCTCATTAGGAAAGGAGAATTTCTATGAAAGGCTATCACAAGAGTTCTTAGAGGTGAAGGTGTTAAGGGACGACGTAACACCGGGGGGTCTGCGAGGTATGGAATACTCGTAAGTACTCGAAGGTCATATGACAGTAGTGAAAATTCCAATTTTTCTTTCTTAGGAGGCCTACCACACCCAGGAACCTGTGGGGTAGAGGATTGTTCAAGAAAAAAGGACCGGACGGTCCATTATGCGAGACTATCACCAGGGTTCTTATGGCTAAAGGTATTGAGTACGTAGTAGCGCTGGGTCTGGGTAGTATGAAATATTCCCCAGGGTGAAAGAAGATTTGCAAATTCCTGCAACTATTATAAGATCATCGTGCACTGGGGGTGTTCCATACTCCACAGACCCCCCGATGGTACGTTGTCGAACAACATCATCAGCTTTAAGAACTCTTGTGATAGTCCTTCATAGATAGCCAACGAATCCTCTTTTCCTAACGAGCATTTTATACACAGGCTCCTGGTATTACGCTCGAAGGTAGGTACACTTCAAAAAGTTATAAGCTATAAATAGGGCAGAACGTAGCACCGGGAGGTCTGGGGGGTATGAAATAAACCTTTGCGTTTTTCCAGAGAAAGGTGAAATGAAATATGGGTTTTTCGAATGTTGAAATTGTCACCAACACGGAACTCCGGGATGAACAGTACCCGACGAGTGCATTCAAGAAAAATGAAGTCGAAGGAAAAGCTTGAATCTCTACGGCGAGGAAACACTGAATTTGATTGGAGTAAATAAAACACGATGGAAAGGGAGAGGAAAATTGTAATGATGCAAAGTTTTTTTACAATGGAAAAAAAGGAAAAAAACGTGCAATTTCTGGTCAGCAAGGGACCAACCAACCAAAGTGACTTATGGCTGTGATGGCTCTAAAGCTTAACGCTGTGCCAAGGGATATATTAGTGATTCAAGTGTACCGGGTTCGTTTCTCACCATTGGGATCTCCGTCACGGTGATACATACAGTATAGGTTAGAAAAATCTTTGAAAATAGCTGAGATATAACCGAAAAACTTGTAACAGGTGGTCGCTTTAGGCCGGTATTTTATTTGTGTGCCGCTTCATAATGAAAGAGAACGGAACTAATAGTCTAGAAATGACGCGCTTTAAGATCAGGGCGAGTGTTCAAGCAGATAAGACTCGAAACGTTGCCTCTAGAAACCGTCGCGACACCTATATATAAAAAATCGAGTGAACGTTTGCTTTGCGGTGGTTCCGTTCCAGAACTTTTAATCGGCAAGTAGACTAGGAAAGATTTGGTAGGCGAGCGGGATTCTTAGCCGGCAATTTTAGATAGCGAAAAGTTTCTATTAAATAAGGAGTTAAATGAGTTGGTGTCATCAAAGGATACGAATTAACCGCGGTATTGTACGTGAAGTGTTACTGCGAAAATTAAAATACCGAATTATTAGAGAAACTGTGTCGCCATTTCCATGAAATTATTGTCGTGGGTAATTTAACATGTTCGTTACCAATATAGAGTGGGGTATTTATGCGAAAACGAACAGATAGCGGCGAAAAATCAAAATCTGTCCGATAGGTATTCTCTCGCGATTAAGGCGCTATGCGGGGGTGCACCTTCCTGTTGAAATCGTTGCATTCGTAATAAAAATGCTACTCAATACAGTATGTACGCTGTCTTGACCTCAAAAATTGACAATGAGAAAGTGTTTTATTATTTTTGTATCTGTCAGAAAAAGATAAAAACGAAATTGGCAATCTCTGGTTTTTCTAGCATATCTTCGGAAGTAATTTTGACATAGAGTGTATAATATTTTTTGAAGATGAGGTTTACATTCCTTCACTTAATCAACAGCTTAATCAATGAAATTAATTTTTGTAGGAAATACGTAATATTTAAATTCGCTGTAGGAAGTAGTCATTAAACGACAAACCGCAAAGTGATAACTTTTCCGCAGTAAAAATAAAATAAAAAAATGTAGTAATTGATTCTGATCTACTCACATATCGGCTAGGAACGTATAGCGATCCCAGGCAATATTTTCCAGTTAGACCATGGTTGTTGGTACGCGCGATTCGTAAGCATTCATCAAACGAGCCCATTTCGACGAAATTTCCTTCCAAAAGACCAGCTGAGAGCTTACCATTGGCGTCGTACACTGCAAAACGTTAAAAAATAAAACTGAAAGGGGCCCGATAGCCTCACTGTTCAAAGCCCACTGCCGATCCCTGCGAAGACTGTTTGCAAAATCGGTTAGCTCATTGCGGCATCGCTGCGTTAAGGGAGGTTCTTGGGATAAATACCACAGGAGAGACTTGGAAAATATTTGCGGCGAGGAGAGAACACCGAATGGTTGCCCTAAATAGTCGGCATCAGCTACCCTCGGTGCTAAAATGAGTGTAAATGATAAAAAAGCAAACTTGATTGAGTGCTGGAACGAGTTGAGATAGAGCATCTCGTCGACTGGCTTGATACTGGATTTTTAATTAAGTGCAACTCCGTGCAAGTTCTTATCCTGTACCGGCTGATAATAATTTAATCCAATTACCGCATTGATTTCTGTTGCTAGAAGCGTTCTATTCACAATAGTTAATTGTCGGCAAGGAGCTGATGTATGTCCCAGTCCAGTCCCAGGCCCAGTTGTGATAGTTGACCGTCTAGTGCACGCCGATGATGTCCCAGATTTTCCACTGACCCTGGAATTGACTGGTCGTCCCGTCTAGTCAATACAACGACGAAGGTCTTGATAAGCGTGGACATACCAGCCCCGATGGGCTGTAATCCATTGCCCTACACAACTCTAACCTTCCTCTCGCTTTCGGGGACGTACCCTATAGCCACGGAGGCTCTAAAGAGATGCAACAAATGCAAGAGCAGTAGTTTCACGCCCATCTGCATAAGAACCCAGAATATCATGTTGGTCATGCACTCAGCTCAACTCAACAATCCCTCTGTAACCATGCCCTGCACCTTTAATTCGCTCCTCAATAATTTGAGAATCCTTAGATAACCTTCGAAAAGCGATCAGCTTCAATTATGTCTTTACTAGGATGGTTTTTTTTACCAGTCGAATGGTTCCAACCGTGTAGGGGCGGGAGAAGAATACCAATGCTGCAGGGACACTGCATGTCGTAAGGGCGACTAATCAACGGTGATTCGACTAGCAACAACTTAAGACCTTCTGCAGAGGCACCTCTAAATAGCATTATGCGGGTCACTCTGTAATTGGACGCATGCCTGTTGAGGGCCGAGAACAAGAGAGGGATAATAAAATTTAGAGTTTTGGGTGCGTTCAGAGTTGAAACTCGGTAGCACTCGCGCCAATATGGAGGGCACGAATGAACTCCTACGTTTTGTAATCGGTTCTTTTATGTGTTGAGACGTGAAACATACTTGGGAGGGGAATTGAATAAAACGCAGAATTTTGTGCGTAAGAAAAAAGACAAGAACAAATGAATATATTACCCTCACAACAAGGAAATGTCAAGGAAACCGTCTACGGGACAAAAACCCCGGCATAGGTCTGCACAAATACATGAAATAAATCAACTACGACAACAAAATATAAAAGAGAAAAATTCACAAGGAAAACATCTCAAATGGTAAGTGGAAACATGATAAAGCAGTTTAGTACAAAAACGCATTAGAACCATGTACGTTCAATTGAGAGAAAACATCTTGTAAAATGATCAATTGCATGTACATAGGAAAACATCAAAATTGCGTGGCTCTACTCCAGCTTCGGTTAACATAAATTAATTTAACACGAAAAGTACATCTGAGAATGTTAATAGCAAGTATTCATGTTGAAGTCCATTATCGCCCAAGCAAAACATATTTTAAATAGAGGACCCCTTAATTCTCGTATTGCTGGCAAGAGCTGCGATCCGCACGAGACCAGCAGGCAACAGATACAGCGAAGAATCGGACTGTATTAGGTACGTCCTTCACGGAATAGTTAAATTCAATCAGCAGAGCAACGTCACACTGATAATAAACTTCCTCGTGAATACAGAAATAAATACTTAATAAACAATGTAAAGGTACATGATTTATATAACGTTACTCAAAACAAAATTATGGAGTACGCCCTTGCTTCAATACCAAATATTTTATGCAAAATATAAATAACAAATTGTGACATGAAATTTTGTTTACCTAACCTTCGAAAACTTCGAGGTATTAAAACATTTAGAATTCAAAGCACTCGAAGGTTCAAGATAAACGCGGATGTCTTCAGAATATTCAAAAATTTAATCTCCTTTTGAGCTTCCACCGCATTCTAAGTCGTCTGAATACTTACAACTTTCTAAGCCTTTTAGCCTGCACACCTTTCAGATCATTAGCTTCCCTTCCCATCAAATAGTGTCCATAGTTTTTTTATTTTAGTCCCAATATTTATGTGACAATACAATTAGGAACTTTTGGGTCGAATTAGACCGTTGAACTTCGAACCCGAAGCGCAAAATCAACTAAGGCTTGAATACCTCGAACGAGGGGCAAGTTACAAGTCCGCATGTAGGACACCTTACTTACAGAAATTCTCTTTGGTTTAGAATCTACGTGCGATATGGGTTGCGGCTCACTAATTTCCACACATCAGATCCTTCTCTCTCCCTTTCTCTCTAATAGCCTAGTCAATTTATTGTGAATTAGAGTAACACTACTCTAGTGTATTTCCAAGTTTAATGCTTGTTATTTTCAGGTATATGAAATGAACGTCGCTTTCGTACAACTGTAGGGAAGTTGAAGGTTTGAGTAAGTGAATATTAACCCTGATTGTTGGGGAATCTTACTTGGAGATAAGTGACGTAGTTCTTGAGATCTGTTACTTAAATGGATCTTGAAACGTTTGCACCCGCTCGTCCTAAACCCAACTTTATGACACACGACGCCAAAAACTAACAATATCGGTTGCAGTAGCAGTTTATACAAATTATAATAATTATTAATTTTACAATCGTTATCATTTAACTAAAGGCTTCTTTCTTGATCCTTTTATTAGAAAACTGACGAAATGTTGCGCAGGTAGTTCTACTGACAAAGACAGGACCAAACCTAGAAGAAGCGAAAGGAGAAGTATACCGGCGAAGTCGTTAACCTAAGATAAACGTAAGTGTGTGGAATTTACGATTTGGTATTGTTACCAAGAGCGTGTAGTTGCTAATGTACGAACCAACTCGAGCGGTATCCATATGGTACTCCATTACGTGGAAGTGCACCAGATATGTGCTGTAAGTTAGCCTTGAAACTACCACGAATACTGGATTTGTTAGAAAACTGGTGACAATGCCTTAACAGAGTTTTAAGTTAACAAAAAGAGGCACATCCGTGACTCTGTAGCTTACCTCCGCGTCCAATTTCGCAAAGGTATATTATACATCCAACTGACAGTAGCATTGTCGGTCGAAGTAATGTCAAAGAAAACGTGTTCTCATATCTGTCATACTCCGAAATAACCACGTGACTACCTCCAAAAGTGGTCGCGACGTAGACAAGTAATGCTAAGATCATAAGCGGTATCGCTATCCTCTAGAACAAAAAATATTAGAAAGGGAAAAGATACCTTCTTAGTTCTGGCGGGTGCATACAATCAAAGTAGGGAATGAAACTCAAATCTCCTTCATTTATTACTTAATTAGTGACCACCTACAAAATGGTGAATTGTTAACTCAGACGGACGTATTTAATCATTAATTCGTTGTTTGAATCCCACCCTACAAATCAAATAACAGCTAGGGCGATCAATCAAATCCCTCGTATTTCTACAATAAGCCAAGGTTGCGGTTTCCGCGCTGCCGCATGACAACACGCCGAGTTCGCATTTGTAACTAATATAACTGAATGCGATCCACACTCCAGATATTTCGTTGCTGAGGTTTCCGAAACTAATTAAAAGAACAATACCCTTTATTTTTTAGCCCATTTAAGAATTAAAAAAATGTGTTATTGTTTGCGTTTTGTTCGTCCGTCCGTTTGTCCCTTGGTCTGTCCGGACCCATTTGAGCGGTTTTGATCTACTTTTAGGGGAATTGTCCTAGAGTCATTTTTTGCAATAAATAGCATATATCTGATGAAGGTGTGGAACGTCATGGTATACATCTACTTTGTGATGTCAAAACCTTCCATGCAAATATCTGCAGAGTGTCTGAGGAGGATTTTCCCACACGAGGCAAAGATCGCCTAGATGTAACACATCTACTGTCAATGTAAAAGCTTAATAATTGTGAATAGCATACATTTTGAAAGTTTGCCAAATATTTTGAATGGAGCGGCAACCGGTAAAAAGATTAAAGACAATTAATTCGTGCTTTTTTGACTGTTACAACCCTAAGTTGTAAGGGTAATTTTTGACATTTTCACACTGCGGAACATTGATAAATTATTCCAGTGTATGAACCAAATTTTAACTGTTAAATTGCGAAAACCTGAAGTACAGGTTGTTCCTGAATCAAATTCTTCGACCAAATTTTACTGGACGAATAAAAAGGTCCTATTGTATTGTACAACAAGCCGTTCCACCACCAGATTTTCTGAACTGCCGTGACCCTTCCAAAGGAGAAAAATCAACTGGAATTTGGACAGAATCGGGGATCACCAACCGATGGAAATAAGGCTAATAGGGAAGAGAAAAAGAGCAAGAAATGAAGAGTTTCGACGACGAAGGGAGATGCAGTTATGGACAAGAAGCACGATGGAGGATTGTAGAAGGAGATTAGAGGAGCAAGCATATGAAATAGGTAAGGGCACAGAGGAGGAGTGGAAAATAGAAAGGAGAGTATTAAAAAATGTAACAAAGTTTACCCGCAAGGCGCACGTGGCGCTGTAAGTAGCTAGCTCGCCTCATTAAACAACTTCTTGATTAAGCCCGAACCGCCGAAATGACCATGGTGGGTGAGAGATTCCAACGGAACCAAGAAGGAATCCGCACCTGAGAAGAATATGTTTCTTCTGCAATTTCTGAGCCCACGATGTCAGCGTATGTCAAAAGAAGAGGGAACAGGTGTCAAAGTCCAAAACTCCCGATGCGAACACCGTCTAGCACTGCTACGGCTGCGGCAAACCAGGAGTCCTACGTCGAATGTGCAACGATTGCAACAGAATTCCGAAGATTAGAGCACCCCAAGATGTCAGTTTCTGCGTACTGAATTCTGAGTGCCCGATCTCGCCCTATCCGTTCTAGAGCATAATAGTACAGCCTACTTGGACAGTGGCGCGTAAGTCAGCGTCGGAACCCACGAGCTGCAACTGCCACCAGTTCACCAAAACAGAAACGGACGTCACTCTGGCTGATGGGAAGAGAACACGCCAGACCGTAAAGGTAGCAGGTAATGGAAAGGATGGGAGAGATAAAAAAAGGAATCTGTGGGGCAGAGGGTGTACAGAAGAGAGAAACAGATACAGAACAATGATGGAAAGAGAAAGAAAGGGCGAGATAGAAGAGAAGGAGGTGATAGAACATAAAATAGGTACAAAATAATATGTAAGGAAAAAAGATGAAGAAACAAAGAATATAAAGAAGAAACCAGGGAAATAAAAACAGAAAAGGAAGATGGTAAACAGAGGAACAGGGAAAACACATAAGTGGGAGAGAAATACAAATAGACGAATAGAAACAGTACTTTATGGTGAGGGATAGAGGAGGTGGAAGGAAACCAGATATCAAGAGAAGAGATGGAGCAACAATTTAAGAGACTCAAGAAAGGGAAGGTGGCAGGGCATGGATTTTCGCTACAGATAGTATTAAATATGGAGAAACTGAGAAAAGGAATTAGAAAAAAGGTCGGAATGGTGGTAGCGTTTTTCATGGATCTAAGTGCGGATTTTAACAGGGTAGAAGGTTAAGAAAAAGATAGCGGCTCTTAGGAACAAATGCGTCGAAAGTAGAAGGCGATGTACTTGGGTCGGAAGAAAGGCGCATTACCTAAACGCCAGGGTAAATAAGAACGAATGTTGGCGACAGCTGTGTGACCAAATCGAGAAAGAAGCCATGGGGCGGCGCATATAAGATCGGGAAGATTGGCGTGAGGGAGCTAGCGATCGGGCTAGACGCGGAAGTCCAGGAACAGGTGCAGGCTCTGAGAGAAAGAATTGACCGACAAATGGCGGTAGACGATCAAGACAACCAAAGGAAGATCGAAGAAAAGGAGGTCATGCCCAAAAAGAAAGCTCCAGGACCGGACGGACACTTCGCAGATTATGACCGCCTGACCAAACACTTAAAGCCTACCTGATAATCATTACCTTTTCCATGATAGGTAGTTCTTCCTCTTTCACCTTGAACATGAGGCAACCCAGTAAAAATCCCATCAACCATGACGAGGCCCTTGTAGGTAGAAAGGTGTAGAAGTGTTTTGCGAAAGTTGCTTCGTCTCTGCGTAGGTGGTTAAAGTGGTCGTTTCAAATTGATGGACACTTACCCGCATTGATCTTCGGCGCACAATTTATATGTCCAAGCCATTACGAATGTGGTTGCCATGGAAATTAGAACCAAAGCGACCGTGGCCACCATAGTTTCTCTTCTCCATCGCGCTAGAGGGAGTAGCAGCAAAGGAGAGAGTACATACATCTGGAAATCCACCGAAAGGTACCAAGACTGTGGAATGCACTAGAATTTTAAGTGTTTATCAAACGTCTAACGAGTTGCGCTTACTATAGCTGATTGATAATTTTGAATGTATAGCAGGCATGACCACCAATGTGTTTGGCACGGTCCAATAACGTCATCCGTCCGATACCATAACGGCCCAGATCCAATATAGCCAAACCATGTTAGTGTAAACAACATAACAGCCAAGACTGCCGGTGTAAGCCTAAAACGGTTTTTCTATTAAACTGGTGGAAACTGGATGGTGAGCTTTATACCTCAGGTACCTTTCGATGTAGTACGAGGGAATGTTGAATTCCTCACTTTTAAGCTTTCTTCGTAAAAAATTGTATGCAACCAAGCATCCAGAAATTAGAAAAAATAAGTCGACTCCAAAGGGTAATGTCAATAAGGGTCCATCTATTGATTGATGTATCCACTAAAACAATCAACGAGATCGTGGAAAACCAACGGGAACACTTTTTACGTATGAAGAGAAATAGTAGGAATTTCTGGTGGCTTTTCCAAGGTGAAATGTGCCGGTGTGCACTAAGATTACCATGGTCATAGCAATTACTCGAATGCCATTCAAGCACGCAATATCACTAGCGCTGGATTTGCTAACTCTAAAAATTAGTTTTCCATTCGTCCACAGCGAAAATGACTTTAGCGCCCAATGCGAGTCGGCTGAAATTTGAACTGAACCACTTGGTCAACTGAGAGTTTTCCTACCTTTCAAACAGAGCTCGTATATCGTCGAGGCGACAATCAGAAGTAGAAGAGCGCACGCAAGTGCTCTAAATTGGACATTTAGGGCAACCGCATGCACAATAGGTAGGCACTTACAGAGTTACGTAGGCCCCCGCTGTAATCCTAGGTCGGGTTTCCCTCGTCTGGCAGGCTCCTTCCGTTAACGTCATGTTTAGTCCCATTCCTTTCGCGATCCTTTCAAAATCGACGGCCAAACACGAATCCGGAAAGCAAACCCCGAATTCCATTTTGTTGGTGTCTAAAGTCCAATACACCAGCCTTATGGTTACATTATTGACCTGCCGACATTAAGGCGAGAATAGACTAGCAAGATTTCTCGCGCAAGTTGCTGTCTGATAGGATGTCCAGCACCTTGCGACAATAAAACTTACTATAGCGCGTTCGCACCTCCAGATACAGTATCGTGCTTATGAACGTACAGTACATCCTTGCCAAACGTAACAATGACAGCACAAGGCGATAATGTTGTGCTTTAATACTTCAATTCAATCATATGTCAGTTTGGCATCGTTGCGGTGAGGAACAAGAAGAGCGCTATCGAAGAATGACGCAAAGAGTAGTCCATAAGACCCCATACTGCATCTGGAGGTACAGTCGAAACGTACAGGAGACCTCTGGGGAAGTTTTCTCACAAATTCAGATCGGTTCTGAATTTTTGAGCGTGAGTCGATAGTGCTTGAACTGCGGGAGACCGTGTCACGTAACTGACAACTGCTCTGATAAATCAAATTGTGTTCTCTGCGACGGAATTAAAGCAGAAAGTGGAGCGGGGCACCGATGTTATGGACAAAAGTGCGCTTTCAATCAGAATTCTGTGGGGTGCGGATAGCGCTACAGGTTGGTGATATATCGGTGATACTGAAGCGAAATGTTGGCGATTGTGGTGTCTGGTGTACAAGACATGTGTGAATATCTGTCAACGGCACGTTTTAAGTGAGTGTATCTGTGATTGTTTTTCTCTCTTTCTCCTTTTCTTTTTAGCACATTTTTTAAGAATTAAACAAATGTGCTATTGTTTGCGTTTTGTCCGTCCGTCCGGACCCACTTCTGCCGTTTCGAACTACTTCTAGGGGAATGGTCCTAGAGTCCTGGAATGTTGTGCAGTAGGTTGCCTATACCTTGAAGGTGTGCCAGATGGCCATCAAATTTCGCTGTCCTTAAGTTGAACTTTAGAAAAGGGGGGGGGGGGGGGTTAACACATGTTCTACCCTTCATGGTATTCTAATGGAAGGTCTCATCGAAATAAATTGGTTTGTACAAACTATAACTTTCCCCTGCGACTCTTTTTCGGGATCAGTGAGCGACGGGGCCTGAAGGGGGGGTGGGGGTAAAAATTAATTTTATCTCTCTTTGTATTCTAATTAAAGGTCTCAACGAAACGAACCGTTTTCTACCAACTACTGCCCTTCTTTCTGTCTTCTTATCAAAGTACGGGGCGGAGGGGGAGTGGAACTAGTTTTATCCTTCATGGTACTCTAATGAAAGGTCTCAACGAAAGGAATTAATACCTACGAACCATACCCCTCCTCCTGGACCTCTTATCGTGATCGGGTATATTTCCTTACACCTCAAGAACGGATTGTCGGAAGAGGGTACTCACAAAGGGCGATTGAGACGTCTGCAAGAAATATATCCATTGGTGATGTCAAAGCAAAAGCTATTTCTGTTAAACAAATGCGCTTTATCTGCACAAGAGTTGTGCACAATTTATACTTGTTTATATAGTCTCACGTGAGTGGTCGCCGCAGAAAAGAAATGCGACTCTGCAATAGCGTCAAAGATTGGTGCCCCAAGTGGAAAGGGGATCCATAAACACCACCTAGGCAGAGTGAGAGTGGTCTTAACCTGTATGAGGGATGGAGGCGGAGTTTAGAGGTGAGAGAGATGGGTATAGGAGACGAATACGTGTACACTGCCAAACATGGGAATAGACCTTTCCCAGGCACGAAAGCACTGGAACTGGAATCCTCAGGAAGACAATAACGCCGGGTTTGTGCAAGGCAGCGAAACAAATAGCAGGGAACAAATCTCCAGGTCCGGACGGGGTGCAGTTAGCGGCCGTCTAGGGTCTGGCGTTGGGGAAACCCGATATGGCGGTGAAGTTATTAACCAACAGGAAGCGATGTAATCTGGTGTTGATATTGATAAGGATCCAGTCCTATCGGCCACACAGACAATGCCTCTTGGATCCGGTGGAGAAGCTTTTCGGAAGAATAATAAAAAATATATACAATAATGCAAAAATGTCTAAAAGGAAGTTCGACTTTGTGAAGAGCCGAACAACTGGCGACGCTCTGGCAGAGGTGTCGATGGTAAACTCCGGCACATGGAGAACCAGGGAGGTGTGCGTGACCAGATTTGAGGAACTCTTCTAATGAGGTAATACGCGAACGCGAGGCTCTCCGGAAACTAGAAACGCCCGTTTAATTGAGGAGGATGAAGGGCAGACAGCTGACCATTCGGCAGCATAAAGCCAGGATCGCCATGTTGACGGGTAGAAGGTTGGAGGTGGTAAGCATTGACACAGTGGACGAGGCTTTTCGGGGGAACAAACCGCAAGAGAGGATTCTGCGGTCGTTTTATAATGGCGAAAATGATTTAAGGGGTAATACGATGGCTTTTGCAGCACTTTTAGATGATCTTGTGATGCAGACCAGGTCTTAACACGGGTTCTGCAATGAACTTATAAGAATGTCAATAGAAGCAGGCCCAAAGCTGATCTTAGTGAATGAGAAAATTTGTGTGATCTTCATAGAGATGAAAATGAATCTGGAAGCACAATTTTGAGTAGATCCTTGGCAGAGTCGTAAGAGGGATCGCCCAAATTCAGGTTAGGTACCTATATCGAATGCAATCCCGCAGCAAAATTTCGATCCCGGTATTTGCGGGATAATTTTAAATGTATTGGGAAATTAAAGCAGTTTTGTGCGGTTAACCGAATATTCTCAAACAAAACACATCGTATTTCCCGGAAAGGATGCGTCACATTCGCACTTCTCCGTTACGCGTTTTATTAATAAATTGTAAACAACGTCGTCCCCGTCCATAAATTTCGCAATCCCGCTCCATTTCCCTACGGGATTAATCCCGCAAAAAATGCTGCGGGATCCCGGTATTGCATTCCCTAGGTACCCAGTTTACGCTATGAAAGGTACTTGCAAAACACGATACATTTTTGACAGAAGAAACAACTTTGACAATTGAAGGGAACCACTCACATATCGACTTGGAACGTACAGCGATCCCAAACAGTACTTTCCAGTTAAGCCATGGTTGTTGGTACGCGCAATTCGCAAGCACTCATCAAATGACCCCAACTCAATCAAATTTCCTTCCATTGCACCAGCGGGTAACTTCCCATTTGCGTCGTACACTACAAAGCGTGGACATTAATTCGTAACCCGTGCCCATAACCTTACTGTTGAGCGCCCATTGCCTCCCTGATTGAAGGCTCGTTGCGAAATCCTTCAACTCATCCCGGCAACGGTGCGATAAGTCGCGTTTCTGGGATAAATACGACAGAAGGGACTTGGAGAACACATGCGGCGAAGAGAGAACGGCGAATCGTTCGCTTAAATAGCTGGTTTCAGCAACCCTTGCAGTTACGATGAGCAGGGTTATTAAAACTAAGAGCATGTTCAATGACTTCCATGCGGCGTGTGTTGCTGCAACTGATTGGAAATTAATGATTAAGTAATTCGGTTTCCGCAGTGATTACTAATCGAACAATAAATTAGACAAGCCCGATAGGATTTTTATGCGATAATGGGTACACTATACAGGGCGATTTTTTTTTCATTTTCACTATGGACTTCTCTTCTGTCGCAATTTCGACTGCAAAACGTAAAATTCCGTTTTTTTCTCAGTTCCTTTCGTACAATTTTCCAAGGAACCTATATGACACATTTCAGCCTTTGATGCCCAGTAGTTTTGGCTGTGCCTTATTTGTCAGTCGCTCAGTTAGTTACGGAGGAGTTTTAGGTACGTATAGATTAAGGGTTGATGTTCATTGTAACGGACGGTCGTATTTTTTCGAATTTCTATTTTGTTTAGCATGTACCGCTTCATAGCTAATGTGAACAAAAATATGTCTATCGTTGAAAACGTTCAGCGAAGTTATAAAGAGCAGGTGCGTATCATTTTGTGCTTCGTATGCTTGGGGGAGGGGAGGTGAAGTATGGAATACCCTCCCAGGCCCCCCGGTACTACGCTTTCCCACAAAATCACCTAGACTCCCATAATTAGCTTTTGGAAAAGGACAGACTATCTTTCCTGTGGAGTATCCTAACACTAATAATGTTTTTGGGGAAGAACGTAGTGCTGAGGGGTTTGGGGTATGAAATATCCTTATTCCACAGCAGTATTTCACAGATAATCAACTGACACCTTCTAACGTATAATGTTCCACTGATACAAATCTTTTTATGTATCAGGATCACAGGAACCCAAAAGTGTGTAATTAGGAGGTAAGTTTAGTGAGAAGCATCTTCATTAATATCATAATCTCCTGATAAAAAAACTGTTCCTTAAAAATGTATTTCAATGAGAGAAGCAAGTGTAGATAGAATTTATCAAGTGGCACCTTCTAGCGTCTTATGTTCTCCTGACACACTTTTTTTAGGTATCAAGACCACAGGAACTCGGAGGTGTGTAAATAGGAGGTAAATTCAGCTTTTTTAATATTATAACCGCCTGATCTGGTGTTCAACGGCCCCTGAGCTTCTAAGATCTCCCTCAGTTTTTGCAAGAGTTTCCAGAACCTACCCGTCTCTTAGGGTGTAAGAACCTATAACGGTCTCTTCTCATTTTTATTGCTCACTTATTTTACAATTATTGATGCTGCTTTGTAGATCACTGAACTCATGCCTTCTTTCTTGATCTTCTGATTAGCAAACTGACGAAATGTTGCGCAGGTAGTTCTACTGACAAAGACAGGACCAAACCTAGAAGAAGAGAGAGGAGAAGTACACCGGCGAAGTCGTTAACCTAAGATAAACACAAGTGCTGAGAATTGACAATTTGGTGTTGTTACCAAGAGCGTGTAGGTGCTAAGGTGCGGACCAACTCGAGCGGTATCCAGGTGGTACTCCATCACTTGGAAGTGCACCAGGTATGTGCTGTAAGTTAGCCTCGAAATTACCACAAATAACGGATTTGTTAGGAAACTGGTGACAATGCCTTAAATGAGTTTTACGTTATCATCACAGGAAGGCACATCCGTGGCGTCTGTATCTTACCTCCACGTCCAATTTCGCAAAGGTATATTATACATCCAACCGACAGTAGCATTGTCGGCCGAAGTAATGCCAAAGAAAACGAGTTCTCATATCGGTCGTTCTCCGAAATCACCACGTGACTATTTCCAAAGGTGGTGGCGACGTAGACAACTATTGCGGCCACCATAAGCGGTATCGCTATCCTCTATAACGAAAAAAAATCAGATTAGGATAAGCACAAAGATATCTTGTGATCTTAATTTTCAAACTTTGAAGCTTCCACAAATTTTATTTGAATTTTCCGTGAAATCTCTACTTCAACAAGGATATAGAAGTTTGTTCTTTCAATGAAAAGTAATCATTCGCGCTTTGGTTTCTGAAACTGTTCAAAATGGAACCTGGAATCAGGGCAAAATGTAGAATTTTCAAAATTTGAAGCTTCTATAAAGAATTTTCCGGAAAATCTCTACTTCAACAAGGATATAGAAGTTTGTTCTTTCAAAGAAAAGTAATTATTCGCGCCTTGGTTTCTGAAACTGTTCAAAATGGAACCTGGAATCAGGGCAAAATGTAGGAATTTTCAAAATTTGAAGCTTCTACAAAATTTATTTGAATTTTCTGGAAAATCTCTACTTCGACAAGGATATAAAGGTTTGTTCTTTCAAGGAAAAGTAATCACTCGCGCTTTGGTTTCTGAAACTGTTCAAAATGGAACTTGGAATTAGGGCAAAATGTGGAATTTTCATAATTTGAAGCTTCTACAAATTTTATTTGAATTTCCTTGAAAATCTCTACTTCAACAAGGACATAGAAGTTTGTTCTTTCAATGAAAAGTAATCATTCGCGCTTTGGTTTCTCAAACTGTTCAAAATGGAACCTGGAATCAGGGCAAAATGTGGAATTTTCAAAATTTGAAGCTTTCACAAATTTTATTTGAATTTTCCGGGAAATCTCTACTTCGACAAGGATATAGAAGTTTGTTCTTTCAAAGAAAAGTAATCATTCGCGCTTTGGTTTCTCAAATTGTTCAAAATGGAACCTGGAATCAGGGCAAAATGTAGAATTTTCAAAATTATAAGCTTCCACAAATTTTATTTGAATTTTCCGGGAAATCTCTACTTCGACAAGGATATAAAAGTTTGTTCTTTCAAAGAAAAGTAATCATTCGCGCTTTGGTTTCTCAAATTGTTCAAAATGGAACCTGGAATCAGGGCAAAATGTAGAATTTTCAAAATTTGAAGCTTCTATAAAGAATTTTCCGGAAAATCTCTACTTCAACAAGGACATAGAAGTTTGTTCTTTCAAAGAAAAGTAATTATTCGCGCCTTGGTTTCTGAAACTGTTCAAAATGGAACCTGGAATCAGGGCAAAATGTAGGAATTTTCAAAATTTGAAGCTTCTACAAAATTTATTTGAATTTTCTGGAAAATCTCTACTTCGACAAGGATATAAAGGTTTGTTCTTTCAAGGAAAAGTAATCACTCGCGCTTTGGTTTCTGAAACTGTTCAAAATGGAACTTGGAATTAGGGCAAAATGTGGAATTTTCATAATTTGAAGCTTCTACAAATTTTATTTGAATTTCCTTGAAAATCTCTACTTCAACAAGGACATAGAAGTTTGTTCTTTCAATGAAAAGTAATCATTCGCGCTTTGGTTTCTCAAACTGTTCAAAATGGAACCTGGAATCAGGGCAAAATGTGGAATTTTCAAAATTTGAAGCTTCCACAAATTTTATTTGAATTTTCCGGGAAATCTTTACTTCAACAAGGATATAGAAGTTTGTTCTTTCAAAGAAAAGTAATTATTCGCGCCTTGGTTTCTGACACTGTTCAAAATGGAACTTGGAATTAGGGCAAAATGTGGAATTTTCATAATTTGAAGTTTCTACAAATTTTATTTGAATTTCCTTGAAAATCTCTACTTCAACAAGGATATAGAAGTTTGTTCTTTCAATGAAAAGTAATCATTCGCGCTTTGGTTTCTCAAACTGTTCAAAATGGAACCTGGAATCAGGGCAAAATGTGGAATTTTCAAAATTTGAAGCTTCCACAAATTTTATTTGAATTTTCCGGGAAATCTTTACTTCAACAAGGATATAGAAGTTTGTTCTTTCAAAGAAAAGTAATTATTCGCGCCTTGGTTTCTGACACTGTTCAAAATGGAACTTGGAATTAGGGCAAAATGTGGAATTTTCATAATTTGAAGTTTCTACAAATTTTATTTGAATTTCCTTGAAAATCTCTACTTCAACAAGGATATAGAAGTTTGTTCTTTCAATGAAAAGTAATTATTCGCGCTTTGGTTTCTCAAACTGTTCAAAATGGAACCTGGAATCAGGGCAAAATGTAGATTTTTCAAAATTTGAAGCTTCCACAAATTTTATTTGAATTTTCCGGGAAAACTCTATTTCGACAAGGATATAAAAGTTTGTTCATTCAAAGAAAAGTAATCATTCGCGCTTTGGTTTCTCAAATTGTTCAAAATGGAACCTGGAATCAGGGCAAAATTCAGAATTTTCAAAATTTGAAGTTTCCACAAATTTTATTTGAATTTTCTGGGAAATCTTTACTTCGACAAGGATATAGAAGTTTGTACTTTCAAAGAAAAGTAATCATTTGCGCCTTGGTTTCTGAAACTGTTCAAAATGGAACCTGGAATCAGGGCAAAATGTAGGAATTTTCAAAATTTGAAGCTTCTACAAATTTTATTTGAATTTTCTGGAAAATCTCTACTTCGACAAGGATATAAAAGTTTGTTCTTTCAAAGAAAAGTAATCACTCGTGCTTTGGTTTCTGAAACTGTTCAAAATGGAACCTGGAATTATGGCAAAATGTAGAATTTTCAAAATATGAAGCTTCCACAAATTTTATTTCAATTTTCCGGGAAATCTCTACTTCGACAAGTATATAGAAGTTTGTTCTTTCAAAGAAAAGTAATCATTCGCGCTTTCGCTTCTGAAACTGTTCAAAATGAAACCTCTGGAATCAGGGCAAAATGTAGAATTTTCAATATTTGAAGCTTCTATAAATTTTATTTGAATTTTCCGGGAAATATCTACTTCAACAAGGATATAGAAGTTTGTTCTTTCAAAGAAAAGTAATCATTCGCGCTTTGGTTTCTAAAATTGTGCCAAATGGAACCTGGAATTACACTGGACAGTTCATGCTTCTCCCCAGAGGAGCACAAATGGAATCTTGTTATTGGCTGAGAATTATCAGTACAGAGTGAGTACAAGGATGACTGGCCGAGGTCAAACGAAGACAAGCGTCCGAAGTAGATTGTGGATCGGGACTATGGAAAACAAGTTTGCTCTGGCGCGATGCACATGTTGATCTTCCTGAAAGCAGAGAGCAAACTTTGAGACGTCTCAATCTTCTGGAGAAAAGATCCGAGTGGTTCTTGAGCTCTACGGGGACTCACAATGAACAACTAGATTGTATTCAAAATGATGGAGAGGCTCAAAATACGTTTGCGCAAGGTATGGTGTTTCCCCCTCTTTGGAGTATTCAATCCCTAAAAATCAAATACGATCAGATTTTGTTTTGGATGCTCAAAGGACCATGGAGCGAATCTCAATGACAGTGTTCTGACTTGCTGCAGTCCCGTACAGGGATTTTGATGAGGCTTATATGGAGAAAAGAGTCGGCCTCACTGTTGATATCAAGGAGATATTCCACCAGGTCCTCATTCGAGACCTAGACAGAGATGCGCAAAGGTTCCTCTGGCGCAAAGACAAGTCTCAGCTCATCCCATTCAACTCCGACTTCAAGAGAATTGAAACATTTTCTTCACCATGATGGTTGAGTCCTTTCATTCCCGAAACTGATGATGACGTGTTTACAGACGACAGTCTGGTGGCTTCTTTGTTTATGTGCGATTGCTCACGGCTAAAACGAGGGTTTCTCCTATGAAGCCGCTGACAATACCACGTTTGAAACCTCAGGAAACCGCCATGAGGAGTCTTTTGGTCATTGTCGTCAAGCAGCAAATGGGATTGAAATTCCGTCAGCCAGTCTCCACATGGGCGGGAGCAGCAACTGTGAAAAGAGCACTTGATGAAGTGGTTCCAAGGGAAGAAGTCCGTAATGGTAGAGGTGAGGCACTCTGTGAACATCCGTCATCAGATTGTGAGTGTTAATTGGAATAGACTCGTTTGGAGAACCGGGAAAGAGCCGAATGGCGTCGACCTCCCCTTTTTACTACGCGTTTTTGGAAAAGATGGGCGAGAAGTATCTTCCTAAGTAGGCAAGTAACACCGATCCGGGACCTACTTTTTTGCGCAGGCGCTAAGGTCAAGGCCATTCCACTCGGTTCTGTTTGTCTATGGAAACAGGGCCTGTCCTGTCAACGAACAGAACCGAATCGGATGACATTGAACTTGGCGCCTGCGCACAAAAGTAGGTCAAAGTGGACCCCCCGGATTATCTACTTCCCCACACTGGCTACTAGAGCAAAGTGGCCAGAAAATGGGTCATCATTTAGAGTTGGAAATTCCTTGGGATTCTAGTTTGTGTCGTGATCACTCAGTTGCAATGTTTATGATGTTTCGTCTACCACCACCTTTATCTAAATTATAGACCCATACCTTTTCCATGGTAGCCATTTCCTCCTCTTTCACTTTAAACATGAGACAACCCAGTAAAAATCCAATTAACCATGACGAGGCCTTCGTAGGTAGAAAGGTGTAGAATTGTTTCATGAAAGTACTTCCTTCTCTGCGTAGTACGTTACAATGGACCCTTCAAATGAGTGGACACTTACCCGCACTGATTTTCCGCGCACAATTTATGTGTCCAGGCTATTGCGAATGTGGTTGCCATGGAAATCAAAGCCAAACCGGCTGTTACCACCATAGTTTCTTTTCTCCAGCGTGCTAGAGGGAGTAGAAGAAAAGGGGAGAGTACATACAGCTGGAAATCCAGTGAAAGGTACCAGGTCTGTCGAATGCACTAGAATTTCGAGTGTTTATCAAACGTCCAGTGACTTATCCTTACAGTAGCGGGTTGGTAATTCTGAATGTATAGCAGGCACGACCACCAGTATTTTTGGCACGGTCCAATGATGTCCTCCGTCTGATACCATAACGGCCCAGATCCAATATAACCAAACCATGTTAGAGTAAACAGCATTACAGCCAATACTGCTGGTGTAAGCCTAAAACAGTTTTTCCATTAACGTGGTGGAAATTGCATGGTGAGCTCTATACCTCAGGTACCTTTCGATGCAGTAGGAAGGAATGTTGAATTCGTGACCTTTTAGCTTTCTTCGCAAGAAATTGTAGGCAACCAAGCATCCAGAGATTTGAAGAAATATGTCGACTCCAAAGGGTAACGTCAATAAGGGACCATCTTTCGGTTGATGTATCGACTAAAAGAATCGAGGAGATCGTGGAAAACCAACGGGATCGCCTCTTACGTATGAGTAGTAGTAGGAATTTCTGGCTGCTCTTCCATGGCGAAACATGTAGATGTGATAGACAATTACCATGGTCATAGCAATTACTCGAATACCATTCAAGCACGAAATATCACCAGCGCTTGGTTTGCTAACTCGAAAAATTATTTTTCCATTCGTCCACAGCGAGAATGACTTTAATGCCCAATGCGAGTCGGCTGAAATTTGAGCTGAACCCCATGGTCAACTGAAAGGGCTTACCTTTGAAACAGAGCTCGTATATCGTCGAAGCTACAATCAGAAGTAGAAGGAGGCAGGCAAGTGCCCTAAATTCAACATTTTGGGTAACCGCATGCACAACAGATACTTACAGAGTTACGTACGCTCCCGCCGTAATCCTAGATTGGGTTTCTCTCGTCTGGCAGGTCGCTTCCGTGAGTGTCATATTTAGTCCGATTCCTTTCGCTGTCATTTCCAGGTCTATGGCCGAACACGAACCCGGAAAGCAAACCCCGAATTCCATTTTGTCGCTCTCAATGCCGTTGAATACCAGCCTTATTGTGGCATTATCAACCTGTCGACATCATTATCAATCGAAATTTTTTTACACGTGTATCTTCGTCCAGAAAAGGTGTTTCTTTTCAATTCCGTGATAAAGTTTACGGATTTTATTGGCCAAGTATGCACAAAAATATCAATTCATTTGGCTATGATGTTTGAAAGTGTCAAAAAACTGGCAAGGAAAACTCGTAACTTTAAATAAAATGGACTTGTGGTACGCTTTCCAAGCCATCGTTAAAATTATTTATCAATTTTCAAGAATATTAATTCCGATCTCTGGTGGTGGTGGTGAAATAATCTCGAGAGCATTTGAAGATGCTGTACGAGATCTTTAAAGGGGTCTTGGATTGATCTTAAGAACTTTTTACATGACCAACTTAATTGGAGCACTTTGACAGTCGTATAAGGATCTTCCACATTCAGATAAGTAGGAACAAATTTTCTTTAACCCTTGCCAATTGAGGAGAAATACTCACATATCGATTTGGAACGTACAGCGATCCCAAACAGTATTTTCCGGTTAGACCATGGTTGTTGGTACGCACAAGTCGCAAGCACTCATCAAATGACCCCAACTCAATTAAATTGCCTTCCATTGCACCAGCTGGCAGCTTCCCATTCGCGTCGTACACTACAAAGCGTGGACATTATTTCGTAACCCGTCTCCATCGCCTTACTGTTGAGCGCCCATTGCCTCCCCGATTGGAGGCTCATTGCGAAATCCTCCAGCTCATCCCGGCAACGGTGCGATAAGGCACGCTTCTTGGATAAATACGATAAAAGGGACTTGGAAAAGACTTGCGGCGAAGAAAGAACAGCGAACCGTTCGCTTAAATAGCTCGCTATAGCTACCCTTGGAGTTACGATGAGCAAGGTTGTTAAAAGTAAAAGCATGCTCAATGGCTGCCATACGGCGCGTATTTATGCAACTAATTGGAAATTAATGATTAACTAATCCGGTTTCCGCAATGATTACTAATCGACCAATAAATTTATACCAAAGATAATAGTCAATCCGATTTACATTTTCGGAAACACTTGCCAACCACCTTCTGACCGGGGTTAGATCTCTAGGTACCTGGAGGTGACCTGGCTTCTTTCTCCTCTTCTGCTCAGCCCCCGAGATGCACGTGCGTGGTTTGGTATGTTTTTTAAGCTCTGTGATCTATAGGGGTTTCCTGGGAGGCTCCCCGGATTTATTGTTTTTATCAGTCTCCATGAGAATAGTATAAATTCGTCCCTCTAGCTCCTCACCCACCACGGATACCAACAAGGGGACGGCTATCCATACGTTATACGCCGCAACCCTACATATGCTCACCCAGTCGTCGGTTTGATCCGACAGCACAGCCGATTGATCATGACCTACCGTGTTAAGCGACACAAACACGAGGTGTGCTCTTTAGTCCAGATTTCGGGGACCGTCATACCCCTGGTCGAGCCTGGCCCAACACTGAGGAGTGGGGAATTATCATTGGACCATTCCTTCAGGCCCGTCGAATGCGCATGTGTTCTTTTTCCTTGCGGTACTTTTAAGAACAGTTGCTACCAAAGGTTTAATTGCAATATTTTGAGGTATAAGTATCGTTTCTGGCGATTCAACGGATTTTGTGTGTGATCATTTGCATTTTTCTCTCATTTGGAGGCTATAAATTGAGTTCATAGTGGATGCATACGATTTTACCATCCGATTTAAGTTTCAACCAGCCATATTTGTTTCCTAAATAAACCTCTTATTAATCAGAGGTTATGTTAAATTGTGTGCTTTAAATGGGTTTAATATGCGATCTTTTTACAAGGTTTTTAATTCCTGTTATAATTTGTTGTGATAAACATTTATGAGTCCTTTTGAGTAGGACATTGTAAAAGTCTTTTAGAGATCTTAAGATCGTCCAGAGCCTACCAACTGCTTTAAAATCTCTCAGGGTTTAAGAACATGTAAAGGTATTTAAGAACTGGGGTTTATCAGATATATTGCTCATTTGTTTTACACTTTATATTGCTTCATAAATCACTAAACCGACTTTCTTGATCCTCTCGTTAGAAAACTGACGAAATGTTGCGCAGGTACTTCTACTGCCAAAGATACAACCAAACCTATAAGAAGCGAAAGGAGAAGTACACCGGCGAAATCGTTAACCTAAAATAAACGTAAATGCAGGGAATTTTCGATTTGGTATTGTTACCAAGAGCGTGTAGTTGCTAAGGTGCGGACCCACTCGAGCGGTATCCAGATGGTACTCCAGCACGTGGTAGTGCACCAGGTATGTGGTGTAAGTTAACCTTGAAACTACCACAAACACCGGATTTGTAAGAAAACTGGCGACAATGCCTTAAAAGAGCTTTAAGTTAGCGAATGCGAGAACGTGTTGAGCTCTATATCTTACCTCCACGTCCGATTTCGCAAAGGTACACTATGCATCCAACCGAAAGTAGCATCGTCGGCCGAAGTAGTGCTAAAGAAAATGAATTTTCATATCTGTCATACTCCGAAATTACCACGTGATTATCTCCAAAGATGGTTGCGACATAGACAAGTAGTGCGAAGACCATAAGCGGTATCGCTGTCCTCTATAACAAAAAAACATTAGATATGGATAAGCCTTATGAAGTTATGACCTTAAAATAGTGAATCAATCATGTCATCATGTCCCAAACTGTTTTTTATTATACCTGAATCACAATCTCCGTTTTAAACACTCAAATGCGTGCGAAAAAGGGCCTTTAAAACACACGTGCTTTAAAGTTGCTAAGTAACGATACTTCAAGTATGACTTTTGAAACTGTCATCTGGATGAAATAAAAAATCCTCTTAGGTCGCTTTCTGTAAATGCAGAACATTTCTTTGGCTTTTGTACCTATCCTTTGGTTGAAGCTTTCACAAACGCGCGTAATTTAGGGTATGCTTCCAAATCTGTTCCACTTTTTAATCGCAGCATTGCTTTAAGTTTTGAATGAATGCACCAAAATATAGAAGATTTAAATACCTTTGACATTTCCTTCATATATGCCAGCATTATGGATGCATTTAAGACTGTATTCGTAAGTAACTTCCTATTCATCCATGGAAACAACTCTTCATATTCTTTATAATAGGCTTTACTGGAGTTGGATTTTACACCTACCAACGTTTGTTTAGATTTTACAACAATCGATTTAATGGACGGTGTATTATCTTTTTCAACGGAAATCGTTTAATTCACAAAGACGATGATTTTTATAAGCAAACGTCAAGTGACATTTCCATGGCAATCGTGAAATTACGAACACCCAGCCCACTTAATTAGACATGTATTCGAGTATAACGTCAATATGACTTCATTGTATTTCCTATTTTTAAATTATACTGCAGGTATAATAAAAAATACTATAAGATACACGTGTATAATTGGTCTTTAAAGCACTTGCAACGTTAAAGGCACTCCGCTTTGCGTCGTGCCCTTAAACTCGTTGCGCGTGCTTTAAAGACTTGATTATACACTTGTATCTTAATATACTATTAAAGTCTTACTACGAGGAAAACCGCAAAAAAATAAAGTAAAGAAATACACCCGTGGATGTAGCTCAAGGGAGAGTAAGGAGAAAAAGAAATATATAATCTGAACTTTTTTTGTTTGACAAATTTTGCTGTATTTCTAAAAATGAAGTGGTGGGGGGTATTCAAAGGTTTCCGTAAAGAACACCCTGTATCTTCGAAACGGCTGAGCCGATTTAAATAATCTCTGGTTAGTTCAAAAGAACTATTCTTCAGCTACAAATATTAATAATAATAATAATAATTAATATTAATAGCTATGTTGAACCCTACATAACTTCACTAGACACAGACACAGACACTAATCGTTACTTGATTTTAATCCGTGCGATTAGTTAACCAGGCTAGAGTTGTCACAAGAAACACCGACAATAATAATAATAATAATAATAATAATTATTATTATTATTATAAAAGAACTATTCTTCAGCTACAAATATTATTATTAATAATAATAATAATTAAATTTGCACGAGAAATCTGACCCCCGAAAACAAATCTTGACCATCGCTGCATGGACATTCAATGATGTAAGTTGTCGAAAATGTCCATGTGGGGATACTAATAAGTGTAAATTAAAAAAAAGAACTAAATAATAATAATTATAAAAGAACTATTCTTCAGCTACAAATATTATTAACACTTGAAGTTTTGTTTGTTTCACATATCGCCGCTTGAGGGCTTTTTTCGACATTCCGACAGAAATGGTTAATTTAAAAAAAAATTAAATGCGTTGGTTCGATTTTTTTCCATGAAAAAGTAGCTAAATGGTGCCTAAAACACTTTTTCGGATTAATTTTTCGATCAGACTTCTCAATCAAAAGTTATAGACTAGAAACCAATTTCGAAAAAAAATTCAAAGGGCTGTAACTTTTGAACTAGTAGCCCAATCTTCGAACTGTTTTAAATTATGGATTCTACAGGCCAAATTCTATAAGAAAATTTTTTTCCGGGTCGATCTGAGACAATTTTTTTTTCGGGGCTCAAAAAAAGGCAGTATATATAACCTTCCTTTTTTACCAAAAATCGACTACACCAAAATTTCTCGGGAAAACACTTTTTCGTATTAATTTTGGTGCGTAGAATCCAAAACAATTCGTACTTTTTCGATTAGACCTCTCAATCAAAAGTTATACTAAATAATTTATATATATATATATATATATATACATATATTTTTCCTACACTTGGCAGCTTATGACCGCATGACCGAAACACTTAAAGCCTACCAACTCTACCTTCTCCATGGCACCCATTTCCTTCTCCTTCACTTTAAACATGAAACACCCCAGTAAAAATCCAATTAACCATGACGACGCCCTTGCAGGTAGAAAGGTGTAGAATTGTTTCATGAAAACAGTTTGTTCCCTGCGTACGTCGTTACAGTGGTCGCTCCCAATTAGTTGACACTTACCCGCATTGGTTTTCGGCGCACAGTTTATAGGTCCAAGCCTCTACGAATGCGGTTGCAATGGAAATCAAAGTCACACCGGCAGTTATCGCTATTGTTTCTCTTCTCCAGCGCGCTAGGGGGACTAGTAGCAAAGGGGAGAGCACATACAGCTGGAAGTCCACCGAAAGGTACCAAGACTGTGGAATGCACTAGAATTTTAAGTGTTTATCAAACTTCTAGTGATTTTTCCTTACCATAGCGGATTGGTAATTTTGAATGTACAGCAGGCACGACCACCAGTGTGTTTGGCACGGTTCAATGGCACCTTTCGTCTGATACCATAACGGTCCAGATCCAATATAGCCAAACCAAGTGATTATAAATAACATAACAGCCAAGACAGCCGGTGTAAGCCTAAAACGGGGTTTTCCATAGGAGTGGTGGAAACTGCACGGCGAGCTCTATTACCTGAGGTACCTTTCGATGTAGTACGATGGAATGTTGAATTCCTTTCTTTTTAGCTGCCTTCGTAAATAATTGTATGCAACCAAGCATCCAGAAATTTGTAGAAATAGGTCGGCTGCAAAGGGTAATGACATTAAGGGGCCATTTTTCGGTTGATGTATCCACTAAAAGAGTCAACGAGACCGTGAGAAACCAACGGGATTTGCTTTTTACGTATGAGTAATAGTAGGAGTTTCTGGCCACTCTGCTATGGCGAAATATGAAGATGTGTTTGAGAATTACCATGACCATAGCAACTACTCGGATGCCACATAAACACGAAATATCGCTAGCGCCAGGTTTGCTAACTCGAAAAATTATTTTTCCGTTCGTCCACAGCGAGAATGACTTTAATGCCCAATGCGAGTCGGCTGAAATTTGAGCTGAGCCCCCTGGTCAACTGAAAGGGCTTACCTTTGAAACAGAGCTCGTATATCGTCGAAGCTACAATCAGAAGTAGAAGGAGACAGGCAAGTGCCCTAAATTGAACATTGTGGTTAACCGCATGCGCATACTTACAGAATTACGTAGCCTCCCGCTGTAATTCCAGATTGGGTTTGTTTCGTCTGGCAGGTGTCTTCCGTTAATGACATATTTAGTCCGATTCCTTTCGCTGTTAGTTCCAGGTCTGGGGCCGAACACGAATCCGGAAAGCAAACCCCGAATTCCATTTTGTTATTGTCCATGCCGTTGTATCCCAGCCTTATTGTGGCGTTATCGACCTGTTGGCACAATTGAATTGTTTGTGATGCATTTTAGGCGCTAAGAATTTAAAGTTCTTTGGAGCGGGTGATACTGTGGAATAATGAAAGAAGCTGTCAAAAACGCCCAACGTCCCTCGCCTGAATAGGCAACCTACTGAAAGTTTCGCTCAAGAAGTTGTGCTTTCTTTGCCTTCAACCAGGTCATTGATCAAGTAAGTGTCCGGACCAAAACCGGAAATGTAAGGATGAACGTCGCAAGAGGCACTATGGGCGTTTGGGGAGGGAAGGTTGAGTCAAATGAAGGCAAACGTTCACCTGAACCGGATGCAGAAAGAGGTGCATCAGATAATTTGCCGATAATCAAAATCCTCGTGAAAGGACCAAAAGGATATGAAGCATTATTCAACATGATGAATGCCCTCGAAATTGATGCGGAAGACTTCCGTAGTACTCTCGTCTCAGAGGCCTTCAGTTACCACATTGCTGAAAATAGACTTCGCACAGTGGAAAATGCTCCCGAAATTTGCTGAACTCGATATAGAACATCTACTGAGGATGCGACCGGGAACGGTTCCGAAGTGGCAGAGGAACAAGGGAATGGTACTTGCCTTGGTTTTTTTTTGCGTACGGAATCACGTTGGGTTTTTGATGCAGCAGAGAACGCGGGAAGAAACCTCCTGTAATAATTAAAAAAAAGGAGCATTTAATTCGGGAATAGGACACTTAATTAGCACCTAATTATTAGTTAGTTCACTTTTCATTTTCTTGGGTTTTAAGGTAGTGCTTTGCTGAGTTCATATGAACCTGGCAGAACATGTGATAATTAAAAAAAAGGGAGCATTTAATTCGGCGATAGAGCACTTAATCAGCACCTAATTATAATTAGTTCACTTTTAATTTTCTTGGTTTTTTGAGGTAGTGCTCTGCTGAGTTCATATGAACCTGACAGACCATGTAATACTTTTAAAAAAAAAGAGCATTTAATTCGGGAATAGGGCAATTAATTAGCGCCTAATTATAGTTAGTTCACTTTTTATTTTCTTGGGTTTTTAAGGTAGTGCTCTGCTGAGTTCATATGAACCTGGCAGATCATGTAATAATTTAAAAAAAAGGAACATTTAATTCGGGAATAGGGCAATTAATTAGAACCTAATTATAATTAGTTCACTTTTCATTTTCTTGGTTTTTTGAGGTAGTGCGCTGCTGAGTTCATATGAACCTGGCAGATCATGTAATAATTTAAAAAAAAGGAGCATTTAATTCGGGGATAGGGCACTTAATCAGCACCTAATTATAATTAGTTCACTTTTCATTTTCTTGGTTTTTTGAGGTAGTGCTCTGCTGAATTCATATGAACCTGGCAGATCATGTAATAATTTAAAAAAAGGGAGCATTTAATTCGGGAATAGGGCAATTAATTAGCACCTAATTATAGTTAGTTCACTTTTAATTTTCTTGCGTTTTTTAAGGTAGTGCTCTGCTGAGTTCATATGAACCTGGCAGAACATGTAATAATTTAAAAAAAAGGAGCATTTAATTCAGGGATAGGGCACTTAATCAGCACCTAATTATAATTTGTTCACTTTTCATTTTCTTTGTTTTTTGAGGTAGTGTTCTGCTGAATTCATATGAACCTGGCAGATCATGTAATAATTTTAAAAAAAGGGAGCATTTAATTCGGGAATAGGGCAATTAATTACCACCTAATTATAGTTAGTTCACTTTTCATTTTCTTGGTTTTTTGAGGTAGTGCTCTGCTGAGTTCATATTATTAGCACCTAATTATAGTTAGTTCACTTTTCATTTTCTTGCGTTTTTTAAGGTAGTACTCTGCTGAGTTCATATGAACCTGGCAATTAATAATTTAAAAAAAAGGAGCATTTAATTCAGGGATAGGGCACTTAATCAGCACCTAATTATAATTAGTTCACTTTTCATTTTCTTGGTTTTTTGAGGCAGTGCTCTGCTGAGTTCATATGAACCTGGCAGAACATGTAATAATTAAAAAAAAAGGAGCATTTAATTCGGGGATAGGGCACTTAATCAGCACCTAATTATAATTAGTTCACTTTTTATTTTCTTGGGTTTTTAAGATAGTGCTCTGATGAGTTCATATGAACCTGGCAGATCATGTAATAATTTAAAAAAAAGGAGCATTTAATTCGGGGATAGGGCACTTAATTAGCACCTAATTATAGTTAGTTCACTTTTAATTTTCTTGCGTTTTTTAAGGTAGTGCTTTGCTGAGTTCATATGAACCTGGCAGATCACGTAATAATTTAAAAAAAAAGGAGCAATTAATTCGGGAATATGGCAATTAATTAGCACCTAATTATAGTTAGTTCACTTTTCATTTTCTTGGTTTTTTGAGGTAGTGCTCTGCTGAGTTCGTATGAACCTGGCAGATCATGTAATAATTTAAAAAAAAGGAGCATTTAATTCGGGGATAGGGCACTTAATCAGCACCTATTTATAATTAGTGTACTTTTCATTTTCTTGGTTTTTTGAGGTAGTGCTCTGCTGAGTTCATATGAACCTGGCAGATCATGTAATAATTAAAAAAAAGGAGCATTTAATTCGGGAATAGAGCACCTTAATTAGCACCTAATTATGCAATATGTTTAGTTGTGTTCTGCTGACCTTGCTCTGCTAGGTTAATGGACATACAGCATGTTAGGTATAAGCTACATATCTAACCACTTTGGAAGAAATGTATATGTAGTTTTGGATGAGTATCCTGAGGATAGTGCCCAAAAGAGCACCAAATTTGCAGAGACAAAAAGATCAAAAGAAGACGCAGGCCGCGATATCGTCGAGACTACTCTGCAAAAAAGTACCTCCAATGACCACGTCATCATCGTTGGTGAGGATGCTGATTTACTCGTGCTCCTATGTGATCTAGGATCCACTAAAACGCACGTCTACTTCCAGAAGAGTGGCAGAGGTGTGGCGGGTTGCATCCAGTTCTCCACCAGCTCGCGCAACCCAGGGGCAGGTGGAGCTACCACCTGGATTTGAACCACCTCTGCCCTCCTCTGGCAGGGAAAGATGAAAATGTGGACCCACTTCAGACAGAATCGAGCGTTTTCCTCCGCCTAGAAGTTGCAGCAGCCGGCGACAAGCGCCCAGTTGCCTTGGCCTAATGGAGGAGACGAGACAACAGAGAGCCTTAACGATGTACTTTTGTCAAGACTCAGGTAACGCTGAAGCGAATCTAGGCCTTTTACCATCAACTGCAGAGGCTGCAAGCTGCAACATACCACCAGGTGCAAAAGTGGTTCAGGGTAGAGAAAAAGGCCATAAAGTCCATGTTGAGTAGCAGGAAAATAATGGCAAGGTTAGTGAGGAGCCAGTTACAGTGATGATCAAAAGATGGTATCCTCAAGGAGGAGGGGGGGTGGGGGGTGTTCTATTATCGCCCTTGCTATGGTCACTAACAGAAAAAGGTTACTTTGTGAAAAGGTATGCAGGCGACCTGGTCACACCTAGTAATCTCTGCTAAATACGATGCAGTGGTATCTGAGGTGTGGTGATGCTTTTTACCAGAGGGATGAATCCCAACATAAGGGCACCCATCAAGAGGGGGGGGGGGAGGTCACCATCGACACCAAGAGGTCAAATACCTGGGAATGGACTTTGACCAGAGATTAACATGGAACTCCCATATGGGTGAGGGGATAAAAAAGGCGACCCTGGCATCCCAGGTCCGTAGAAGGCTAGTCATCAGATCCATGATCATATATGCCGCAGTCATGCGGTGGCCAAAAGCAGCTGCAGGGTATAGAAAGGCTAACCTATCCAAGCATGACAGTCGCCATGAAGTCCTGTTCCACAGCCGCTGTGGAGGCACTTAATGGCGAAGAAGCAAGCGATAGGAGGCGCTATAGCACTGCACCAAACCAAGATGTCAAATATGCAAATCTAGTAAGGCATCTAGCGATTATTGAGGAAGATTTTTTAAAATAATTTTGCCTTTATTTTTGAGTGAGTTTTAAATTGCTAAAGTCAATGTCACTGAAGGTCAAACGTAGACGTGGGTTTGAAACTCTGCTAAAATCCCGAACTAAAGTGCTTATGCGCTAACGTCGAGGTCAAATGGTTCTAAACTAGGGTCAAGCAGGAAACCTCTGTGCCACCATAAACCTAAAAATGGAAAATCATTAGAGTATTGGGCTACCCTCACACACAGTGCAATACTATATAATCTAAGAGCAAATGCACGTAGAGGCCTATCTTTGTGGGGTAGAGTCTCAAAAAAAAGCCATCAAGATACAAGATATGTGCAGAGTTATGGAAGGTGGATGCCTCCCTTCAGTTAAATGGAATTCTTCATCAGCAGAGCAATTTACGTGAAGGGCGAATCATTGAGGACGAATCAAAAAAAGTTTTCTCAGCCTGCGGACGGATGGTAGGGCTCCTCAAAAAGTCTTGAACGAGCGGATCGCAAAGGAGTACTCCCTAAGAACATTCCTCGTAGAGGTAATCGGTATCCTCAGCTCCTGTCCGCTCAAATTCATCGGAAAGCTTGCTAAAAAGACCCTAAAAATAATCGTTAGAGATTGGATTTAGGGGCAACAAAATGAGAAATATCTTGAGACGATGAGAAAATCTCTTCGGGAGAATGGTGAGAGGATTTGAAGATGATGTAGGAGGCCTTTAAAGGAGTAAAATATCAAGAAAAGAACACCTTAAGTCGATCTGGGGTACATAGGGATACTGGAGAGGAGATTTAGACTATTACATGACCAACTTAATTGGAGTACGTTTACAGAGTATAATGACCTCCCACATTCCGGTCAGTAGAAACAAGGTTGCTTCAACCCTTGGCAATTGAAGGAAATTACTCACATATCGACTTGAAACATACAGCGATCCCAAACAGTACTTTCCAGTTAAGCCGTGGTTGTTGGTACGCACAATTCGCAAGCACTCATCAAATGACCCCAACTCAATTAAATTGCCTTCCATTGCACCAGCTGGCAGTTTCCCATTTGCGTCGTACACTACAAAGAGTGGATATTATTTCGTAATCCGTGCCCATAACCTTACTGTTGAGCGCCCATTGCCTCTCCGATTGTAGGCTCGTTGCGAAATCCTCCAGCTCATCCCGGCAACGGTGCGATAAGTCGCGTTTCTGGGATAAATACGATAGAAGGGACTTGGAGAATACTTGAGGCGAAGAAAGAACAGCGAATCGTTCGCTTAAATAGCTGGTTACAGCAACCCTTGGAGCTGCGATGATCAGGGTTATCAAAAGTAAGAACATGTTCAATGACTGACACATGGTGCGTGTTTGCGCAACTAATTGGGAATTAATGATTACATAATTCGGTTTCCGCCATGATTACTAATCGGCCAACAAATTTAATATGATAATGGTCGCATTTGCGTTGGCCCGAGTTGTAATTTTCAGAATACAGAAAATAGTAACGAGTGGTTATTTCAAACTTGGACTTTAAGCTTCAAATCTTGAATTGTGAAATGCAGGGTGAAGGTTCCTGACGCTGAGTTTTCGAAGTAAAGCTAAAACTTAAAGGTTGAAAGTTGAAATCAAGGACCATTTGGGAAGAGGAATTTAAGAAAAGCTTAAGAAGAAACTGAACAACACCTCACAAGGAAAACCTCAAATATTATTGTATGATTTTTCAAAAAATTTTTTGATATCTTCTGGAAGTAATGTCTCAAAGTGTTCTTGAGATATTTTGAAGAGCTTCCAAAGGATCTCTCGGTAAAAAGTAAAAATTCTGATAACAAATATTCTGCGAAACCTCCAGAAAAATGTACAGCCGAATTTATTCTGCGAAACCTCCAGAAAAATGTACAGCCGAATTTTTTGGTAAAAGTTTCTTGAGAAATCATTTGAATGTCTATTTAATCGTGTTCATATTAGAAATAGTCGAGAATGTGATTAAGAATCTCTTGGAGAACCTGGCATTGCACGCCTTCTGATAAAGAATTTCTCAAAAAATATTTCGAGACACTTCTTCAGAATTTCTTAAAAAAGTGTCATGCTTGATCCCTTGAAGAATTTCATAAGTAGATAAATCTACCCTAATAGACTCCTCCTCATGAATAATTTTTAGAACTTCCAAGAATTGTTCTATGAATTGTTGGTAATGATCCTGGAGAGCTTTTAGCCAAATTTACCAAGTGGAATCTCGAAATGAAGAAGAGTCTCTAGAAAGACCTTTTTTTAGAGTTTGACCAAACGTGATTTAAATCTGCCGAAGGGTTTCGAAGCAAAGCAAAGCGATAAGGGTATTTTTTAGGTTTCTTGAAGCACTTCATACAAAAGGACCTCTTGAAAGCGCTTTCAAAAGATTTCTTGGTATCATTTTATAATGAATTCTTTAAAGGGTCGCCAAAGGTCAAAGTGTTCTACGGATTTGCCCAAAAAATAAACAAAGCCTTTATACATGCTTTGATACGAAACACTTCTGGAAAAGAGACCATTACTTGGTCGTTTCTTGGACTCCCTGCAGGAATTTAATCTTTCAGGGATATCTTATAGCAGTATTACTTCATTTTTTTTAGAAATCATGACGAAGGCAGTTAAGAATCCATTGGAGAATCAGCCAAATACTTCCTTGAAATGCCTCTGAATAAAGGAATAACAAATTTCTCGAATATTTTGAGATATTTCTAGAGAATTTCTTGAAAGGGGTTGGGGGATGATGCACACTAAGAGACGCCACCCCGTGAAGAATTGCTTGGAGAGCCTTTCCAAAGAGTTTACTAGGAATCCTTGGGAGAAGAGCTTTAAGAAACATTTTCTCATATGCTATCCACTCATAATAATCCTCTAAGAGAAATCTTCAAAAGAAGAAGAAGAATTTTTCGAGATATTTCTACAGAACTTCTTGAAAAATGTTCTGCTGACTCCTTTGAAAGATTTCATGAAGAATGTATGGAAATGCACTGTAACTGACATCTCCTGATGAAGCTTTTCCAAGGATTTTTCTAGAAATCGTCCGCCACTACTCTCACGGTAATCTGCGAAATGATAATCAAATCTTCGTATTTTGGGGGGTATTCCATACTCCCCAGACCCCCCCCCCACTACCACGTTTATTTTCAAGATCGTTCAGCTTTTAACACTCCCGTGACATTGTTTGGGAAAAGACAGTTGAATGTTCTTTTCCTTGTCGTTTGTGTCAAAATTATAGTGAGAGTGCCAACACTAAAAGATTTTTAAGAACACTGTATTGCCGGGGGGTGTGGGGGATGTCGAATACCCCCCAACACATACCGCGGCGGGAAAGCAGTGCTCCATAGTTCTTCCTTTAAGACTCCCAGCACTTACATGGTAAACTACTAGGACAAGGTAATAAAATCTTGGTATCCTTGGGAGTATTCCTTACCCCCAAAACCACCCGGTATCACGATCGCTTTCAAAATCGTTCCGTTTTTAACACTCTCACAATAATCTTTGGGAAAAGACACTCTAATCCTCTTTTCCTCTAGCGTTGTATCTAAATTATCATGCGAGTATACTACTAAACTTTCTTTGAGAGGAATGTATTATCGGGGGGTCTGGGTGAGGGGCATGGAATACCCCCCAGCACAATACCTTCGGCAAAGCAGGGCTCGATAGTTCTTTCTTTATTACCCCCAGCATTCTCATGTTAATCTGTGAAATGGTAATCAAATCTTCGCATGCTGGGGGTATTCCTTACCCCCCAGACTCTCTAGTATTACATTTCTTTTCAAAATCGTTCAACTTTTAACACTCGTGATATTTTCCGCAGTCGAATGTTCCTTTCCTCATCGTTCGTGTCAAAATTATCGAGAGAATGTCAACACTAACTAAACGTTTTTTTTTTTAAAGAAAAGTGTATTACGCGGGGGTCTTGGGGGGTATGGAATACCCCCAGCACATACCTCTCAGCAAAGTAGAGCTCTATAGTTCTTTCTCTAATACCCCCAGCACTTTCATGGTAAACTACTAGAAGAATTATCGTGAGAATGGCAGCACTAAAAGTTTTTAGAGAAAAGGCTATTACTGGGTGCCCCCCCCCCCCTACACTACCCTTGGCAAATCAGAGCTCGATAGTTCTTTATCTTATACCCCCAAGACTCTCGTGGTAATATGCGAAAAGGTAATCAAATGTTCATATGTATTACTGGGGGGCGGGGAAGGGGGGATGGTGGGTATGCCCCCCCCCCCGGCGCTCCCAGCAGACTACCTTCGGCAAATCAGTGCTAGACATTTCTTTCCTTAATAGCCTCCAGTACTCGCACGCTAATATGCGAAAAGGTAACCGAATCTTCGTATGCTGGAAGGGTATTCCATACCCACCAGACCCCCCCGCTATCACGCTATTTTTCAAAATCATTCAGTCTTTAACAGTCTCATGATAATTTTTCGAAAAAGGAAGCCGAATCCTCCTTTCCTCTTTCTTTTGTGTCTAAACTATCGTGAGAGTGCTAGCACTAAAAGTTTTTTGAGAAAAGTGTCTAGGAGGTGTGGAATACCCATAACCTCACTACCCTTGGCTGGAGCTCGGTAGTTCTTTCTCTATTACCTCCAGCACTCTCATGGTAATCTGCGAAAAGGTAATGAAATCTTTGTATGCTCGGGGGAAGGGGGGGGGGGGGGTTCCCATAGTCCACAAACCTTCCGGTATTACGTTCGTTTTCAAAATCATTCAACGGTTATCACTTCGGGAAGAGACGTCCTCATTCTCTTTGATTTGTATTCTGTATTACTCCCACCATTCTCATGGTAAACTACAATCTTTCTATGCGGAAGAGGGGGAGGGTATTCCCCCCCCCCCCCATCACAATACTCTCGGTAAAACAGGACGTCATAGTACATTCTTAATTACCCCAGCACCCTCATGGTAAACTAATACGACAATGTAATCAAATATTCGTACGCTTGAGGGGGGGGGGGGATCATTCAGCCTTTACCACTCTCATGCTATTGTTTGGAAAAAGACATTCCTTTCTCTTGCTTTGTGTCTAAATCAACATGCTATCACTACATTTTTTTTTAGAAGAATTTAATGTCGGGGGTATGGAATACCTCCCAGCACAATACCATCCGCAAAACAGATCTCCTGGTATTACGTTCGCATTCAAAATCGCTCAGCTTTTAACACTCTCATGATCATCTTGGGGAAAAGACTGAGAGAGATAACACTAAACTTTTTTCGAGAAGTATGTAGATATTAGCGGAGGGTCTGGAGAGTGTGGATTACCTCCCAGCACACTACCCTCGGCAAAGCAGGTCTTTTCGCATATTACCATGAAAGTGCTTCTTAATTAAGAATCTTATGAGGCATCTGGAAAGTACGCCCTTGAATAACAGTTAAATGAACGCCCTGAAGAATATCTCCAGATGTACCTGCAACATTTCTTGGGAGATATCTTCAAAATCTTTCAACGAATATCTTGAACTTTTTTTTAAATTATCCTTTTGTTAACTAATTTAAACAACCCGCTAAAAACGTTTTACTCCTTTGCTAAATTTTATAGTAAACGTCCTGAAAACTCGTATGAGAGACTCCTTGAGAGGTATGTGCAATTCTAAAGTATTGCATATTAAGGCCCATACTCCAGATAATATTGAAAATTTCTGTAATATACCAGGAATATTCAAAAATGAATATCTGTTAAATATATTCCTTGAATATCTACGTGCCTTGTAAGATATACTAGGGATATGCGAATGGGAATATCTCAGATATTGTGAGAATAAAATTAAAAGAATATTCTCCATTTATTCTGAATATTCTTAGATTATGATACCCCTTGGAATATTCTGAGAATAAATTTAAAAATTATTCTCAGTTTATTCTGAATATTATTTGTATAATTATGAGGTATATATATTCCTAGAATATCTACGTGCCTTGTAAGATATACTAGGGATATTCGAATGGGAATATCTCAGATATTCTGAGAATAAAATTAAAACAATATTCTCCATTTATTTTGAATATTTTTAGATTATGGTGCGCAATTTCATAACAGAATTCATTGCTGAATATCCTTGGTATATGCCAACCGGACGCATATACGCGTAAAACATTTTATGGATGTTTGGAATATTGACACACCTTCTAGCATGTTAAGAGGATATCCTGAGAATATCCAATGCTATTTTGACAAAAAAAACCATTTTTTTGGTGTTTTAAGAATTCATGGAGAAATCCCTAGCAAGATCTTTCCCAGTGCTCTTTAAATATCCTTCTGAAGATTCATTCCAGAAACCTCCTCTATACGTTTGTGTACATCTGCGCTTAGGTACGTGAATCAAGGTATTCCCCAGACAAATCTTTTGGGGAACCACTTGAAGACCGCTCTCCAAATGCATGCTGAAGAAATACTTGTGAGGATCATTAAGCCCCTGAAAATTACTCTCATGGATCTCTGGACCTCGTAAAGAACTGTTGGAAGGCTATGGCAAGGATTTTTTTTAAAGAATCGTTAGAAGAGGTATTCCGTAGAATCTCTCTAAAAAGCTCAAAACGAATTAAAGGTAGTGATTGAACGAACATTGTTTGGGGTCCGTTAACTTGGCCCCCCCACTGAGAGATTTCATAGTCGTATTATTTTGAAATGAATGCGCTCATTATGCGCTCCTATGCGCCACCGATAATAACTCTTGCGCCATTATCGTTTTTTAGAAATCCGAAAAAACATTTGGGGGGGCCAAGTGAACGTAGCCCCCCCAGTACGTATTTTGTCCCTTGTAACTAGGTCACCTGATACATTTGGTTATGCGCTTAATTGCGCCACTTGAATTAAAGCTAGCGCCATTACGGTTAAGCCGTGACAAATTTTCAAAAAGTGGGGGGGGGGCCAACTTAACGTTTTTAAAAGTTACTTTTTTTTAACATCTTTTCATACGAAATTGTACTCTCAGGTATGCGCTGAAATGCGCCGTAAAAAGATATCTTTGCGCCATTATTGTTTTTTGGTTATCCTTAAATATATTTGCGGGGGGGCAAGTGAACGAAATCCCCTATAACGCATTTTGCTACCGGTATTTGTGTCACTTGATACATCTGGTTATGAGCTCAATTGCGCCACTTGAATTAAAGCTAGCGCCATTACGGTTAAGCCATAACAAATTTTTAAAAAGTGGAGGGTCTAACTTAGCGTTTTCAAAAGTTATTTCCGGAAGTGCGTCCATTTTGAAAATATTTTACATCGATTCGGCCTTCGGAGTAACTCCTAAATACAAATTTTTCAAAAACCTACCTATTTTACTTTCTCATAATCGTTTAACTAAGGCTCCCAAAAAAACACCCTGTATAGTGTTTCTGAAACACTATAATGGCGCCAAGATTTTTGTTTACGGCGCATTTTAGCGCATGATGAAAGGTACGATGTAGTAGAAAAAACATGTTAAAAAACGTAACTTTTGAAAACGTTAAGTTAGCCCCCCCCTTTTTAAAATTTTTTTATGACTTAACCATAATGGCGCTAGCTTTAATTCAAGTGGCGCAATTGAGCGCATAACGAGCGCATTCATTTCAAAATAATTCGACTATGAAATCTCTCAGTGGGGGGGGGGGGGCAAGTTAACGGACCACATTGTTTGTAAGATATTATATTAACACATATGAAAGTTAAGTAACGCATAATTCACAAATTATTTACATTACATGCAAATTAACAGAAACAACTGCATTTCGCAATTAATAATTTACATACAGTGCTTCTGTTAGTCAATTTCCAAACTCCGGAACGACCCCTCAATGCCGAATGTGGCGTGTTTATTTGCGAACTTGTCCATCCGTTTAGACTCATCGGTTCCCCTGCTCTCTTCGATTTCGAAAAACTCCGGCTTATCAACGATACGTTGGAAGTTCTCCTCTGAAATTCGACTGAATTAAGATTCCCCCGAAACTTTCCCTACCGTGCAGCTCCATGACGGATTTTTGATCGCCTCCGTGGTCCGATGGGAGCAGAGCTCGCGGCACGAACTTGTCTAGGGTTTCCAGGTTGCTGGTGTGGAAGTACACCTGCAAGAGTTCGCATTACTTTCAGTTTAATGGCCGATGCCCGTCGTACGATTTTGATCAGTTCCGCTGTCATGAACGGCTTGACCACCGCAAGCACCTTTTCGATGAGCGGCATGGTGTTGATCACGTGAACGGATTTCAGTCGCACTGGTAGCGCGTCCTAAAAAAACTACATGGAGTTGCGATTTAGGGTTCGAAACTTACTTGAAAGTAAAACATGAGTTTTTTTATTGAGAACAGGGGGATTCTTAAAAGGTGTCCCAAAACGAATCCGTCCATGTTTAAAATGATGACCACCCCTTCACCTGGCCCCCTCTCCAAAAACCAGCTCTTCATGCATCCGTCGACGTACTTGATGTGATTGTTGAACGAAAAACTGTTCGGGTCGGAAACGAGAATTTGGCAGAATAATACTTGGTAGCCTTCCGGTGTTAGTTTTGGTAGTGGTATGTACGCTCTGGAAGTAAACACAATTGTTGTCCGAATCTGGAGCCATTTCTTGCATAATAACGTAATTGACATAGGTTAAGGAACGCAAATCTGTGATATAAATAGCATGTAAACGCTTACAACGAATAATATCAGTCAACAATTCGAACTGCCGGTAACGTACCGGTTTGAGTTATAAGAAAATCCCAGGCCGACTTTATTTTGGGTAAGCATTAGAATTTATTTCACTAACGCTACATTTAGTCCTTCGAGTCATTAAATGAACTGATGCCGCCCCCTTGTTTGTTTATTTATGTTGTTGTCTGTTACAGATAAGACACAAAAGCACCCTTCTGAACTCAAAAGGCCGTTAAAGCCAGATTTTTATTTTCGACAGCTCCTTGGCATATTACCTAAAGGTTCTTCAGATCTTTAAATTCTTCAAATTGTTCTCATTTCTTCAGTTCTTCAAACAGCCCTCGTAATTTTAAGAGTCTTCGGACTTATCGCATTTTTTGGTTGATTTTGAACTCCTCGTTCTCTTCGAATTTTATCAATTCTTCGGACACTTCGAACTCTTAATCCTCCAAAGGAAATTGGAGTGCTGCATTTTTTTAATTTATCTAATTACTGCTTACGTCAAAATAACGTCAGAGCATTGATACCCTCGGCAAAAGGTGAATCATCGTGCACAAACTTTATTGGCCTTATTTAAGGGTAGAAAGATGTAATAAATCGCAATATTTAAAAAATTGGAGCCCAAACACCCCTCACTATTAAACGACCCTTCTGTCTTTATCTCAGGAAAATTCTCCAACAAAAGTTAAGCGCCCGCCAGAAATTTTATTGACTTTATTTGAGCGTAGAAAAGTGTAGAATTAATATCAATTCCAATATTAATAAACTAAGAGCTCAAACACTTTGTAACAGGTGGCCTGTTTAAATTTGCCCACCTATTTCCTTCATACGAGACGTTAAAAAAAATTGCATGAAGCGGAAACAGGTAAACAGGTTAAAGGCAGTTAATTCGTGCTTTTGTTGACTGAAAAACACTAAGTTATAAGGGTAATTTTTGAGATTTCCACACTGCGGATTGGTCAATTATTCCAGTGTATGAACAAAATTTTAACTGATAAATTGCGAAAGTTTGTTCCTGAATCAAATCCGTCAATCGTCGAAACTTATTTTCAACTAGTAACCAAATTTTTGCCGTGACCCTTCCAAAGGAGAAAGATCGACTAGTACAGAGATAAAATGCAACAAAGAAGGGGCGTTGTTACTGAAATTAACAGAAAAGAGAGGTTGGAGAATATCAAACGGAAACATGGAGGGAGATAGGGATGGGCGATACACATCTACATTGGAGAAAGAGGGAGGTCTGTAATTGATTACATACTAGTAAACAGAAATGGGAAGCAATCGAACATTTTAAAGTAGGAACGTGGACAGAATCGGATCACCAACTGATTAATAAGGAAAGACAAAGGAGCAAGAAATGGAGAGGTTCAAAATTAAGGGAGATGCAGTTATGGACAAGAGACACGATGGAGGATTGTGGAAGGAAAGTATATGAAATAGGTGAGGCACAGAGGAGGAGTGGAAAAATATGTATTAAAAACTTTCAAAGTTCACACGCAAAACGCACGTGGCGCTGTAAATATTGAGCCCCGCCTCATTAAACAACTTCTCGATGAAGCCCGAACCACCGAATTGACCATGGTGAATGCAGGATCCAACGGAACAAAGAAGGAATCCGCACATGAAAAGAAGATGCTTCTTGTGCATTTTCTGAAGCCACGATGTCAGCGTATGTCGAAAGAAAAAGGAACAGGCGAACACCGTCTTGCGCTGCTATGGCTGCGGCAAACCAGGAGTCCTACGTTGAAAGTGCAAGCATTGCAACAGAATTCCGAAGATTAGAGCACCCCAAGATCTCAGTTTCTGGGCTCTGATTGCAGAATTTCCGATCTCGCCCTATCCGTGCTAGAGCATAATAGGTCAGTGTTCTTGGACACTGGCGCAAAAGTCACGAACTGCACTGCCACCAGTTTACCAAAACAGGAACGGACTGGCTGATGAGAAGCCAACACGCCAGACCGTAAAGGTAGCAGGTAAAGGAAGAGGATGAGTGAGATAACAGAAATGAATCTGAGGTACAGAGAGTGTACAGAAGAGAGAAACAGATACCGAACAATCATGGAGAAAGAAAGGGCGAGATAGAAGAGAAGGAGGTGCTAGAACATAAAAAAAGAATGAAGAACATTAAGTGGGAGAGAAATACAAATAGAGGAACGGAAACGGAACTTTATGGTGAGGGATAGGGGAGGTGGAAGAAAACGAGATATCAAGAGAAGTGATGGAGCAACAACTTAAGGGATTCAAGAAAGGGAAGGCGGCAGGAGGAACCCAATGGGATTTTCGTTACAGATAGTATTAAATAAGGAGAAGCTGAGAAAAGGAATTGGGAAAAAGGGCAGTAGCGTTTGTCATGGATCTAAGAGAAGATTTTAAAAGGATAGAAAGGGAAAAAGTATGGGAAATGATGGAGGATGGAAAGTGGACAAAAATGTAAAGCACTGTACTGTGCAAGAAAAGAAATGGAACTAAACGTCGAAAAATCGAAGATGGTGAGATTTGCGAAGGAGGAGGTATAGAAAGGGTGGAAGGAGGAGGTATAGAAAGTGTGGAAGGTAGAGTCCAGGAACATGTGCGGGCAGCCGGGCACTCTTCCCTCTGAGAGAAAGGATTGACCGGCTGATGGCGGTAGATGATCAAGACAACCAAATGACGATCGTATAAAAAGAGATCGCGGAGGCAGCCAAAAAATGCCCAAAAGCTCCAGGGCCGGACCCTGAATTCGTGGCACTGGTGGCAAAGAGAGCCCCCAATATGTTTTCTGCGGCTTTCGAGGGAACTATGAGGGAGGGGAAATACTCACCAGCGTGGAAAAGTGCCGAGGTGGTGTTGATCCCTAAAAAGGACAAGGCGGATCTCCCTAGGGGGCAGCTTGGCAAGCTATTCGAGAGTGTAGTTGCCGAGGTAGTTGCGGTGCGATTGCAGTCTAAGGACGGGAGCGCCGAGCACAATGTGTAAGTCAATGTATAGCTACTTAACAGAGCGGAAAATTAATGTAAGACTACCGTCCGGACATAGTAATGAAATTGAAGTAAATGGAGGCGTCCCTCGGGGATCAGTATTAGGGCCACTGCTATGGAATATGACGTCCGATAAAGTAGTAGGCATGATAGTACCGAGGGAAGTGAAGTTGGTTACTTTTTCAGATGAACTCACTGTGGGATAGGGAAGTAGGGGTGGTGAAACGATGTATGGACACCATCATAGAAGCCATTGACAGGTGGATGGGGGAGAAGAGGTTAAAACGGGCGGGGGAAAAATCCAAGGCGGCGGTCATAGTAGGCATGCGAAAACTTCTCCAGGTGCTGGGTAAATAGATTGATTCCTGAAATGGCACCAGAGAAAGCACGGACAGGTACACTACCATCTAACACAGTTCTTAACAGGACACGGGGAGAGCACAGAGTACTTACCGATTCAAAAGGCAACGGGGCGACACCTATGTGGAATTCGGGCACAGGGACACTTCAGGACACAATATTTGGGTGTGAGAGGTGGATCGACGCTGAAAATGGAGTTGGCGAATCGGATAGAAGAGGACAGCATCATCGACAGCATGATAGAGGGTGAGAGTAGCTGGAGGATGATAGACGAGTTCACCACGTATGTAACACGAACGTGAAAGAGGGAGGCCAGGTGGGTACAATAATTATAGCGCACCCCCGACAAGCGGAAGAATAGCAAAGGTGATACCCGCGACGTTGGGATTTATTAAAGTGGTTTAGTGTGGTCAGGGCCCTCGCTATCTCCCTCATAAAAACAGGCGGAGAGTGGGGAATAGGAGAGAGGAATTTCCAGAATGTTTTCACATCAAAAAAACATCTTTTTGACACAATGCTGAGAGGGGTACGGAAGGGAGGTGTGGGAATGGAAGGAATGGAAATACAAAGAAGGTACCAAAAATGGGTATATACTGGGACTAAACAGAAGGACACCAAATTCCGTATTAGAGGAGGAAATACAAATGAAGAATATAAGGATAAAATCAGGACGAAGAGCGGTAAGAGTCGAGGAAAGTGAATTGGTAAAAGAAGGGTTAGCGACGAGGATGAACACAAAAGGGATAAACGAAACAAACGGATGCAGAGGAATAGGGGAAACGATGAAAGGAGAACGTGCCAAAAGGGACAAAGATGTACAAGTGCAGCTCGGGAGAGTGAAGATCGAGAATTCGTGAAAAATCGAAAGGTACAGGGAGCTGATAACAGAGGGGGTGTCGCAGTATCTAACAGAGGGGAAGAAAAACATTAAAATAATTGCCATGTTCAGATGTGGAAACGAGAAGAGAGGAAGGGAGACGTGGAGAGAATAGGAATTGAGACGTCAGAAAGGCCCACAGGCAATGTTTCAAATTAAGAGATTCAGAAATCGAAATTCGGGTTATATAATCTCGAATAATTTGTACCAAAACGTGTCTTGCGCGTTAATGCAAATCGTTGTTGATGTAACGAGAAATCCTTTATTAAATATCAGGTCGGCAACTTTCTTCAAAACTTTCACTCGATATTAAAATATTCTCACACATCGCACATAACTGCTAGGTACTCACGCTTCCTGCAGACATTTCCGAAACTCCTCCGGATCCTTCCTTCCGAAGACCTCGCGGGACGCCGTCAAACAGGTATAGTAATTCTCGATCGAGATCTTCGCCCGCTCGATGCTGTAGTAGCAACTGTGCAAGAAGAATATGATGTCGAGATCTGAAATTAAGTCGTTAACGAAGTCGGTAAGCGACATTTTCGAAACTCACCCGTAACTTGGGGCAGATGGGGCTGTTTGCCCATCCACTCCCTGAGATGGCGGACGTCTTCGCGTTTCAACCCCTCGGTCTTTTCGTACACTTTTTCCACGTCCGCGTAAACGAACGGCATTTTGCGTATTGCCGATTATAATGTAGAAAGTCCCCGCAACCTCCTTTTGAGCGAGGCGGATTTACTGGCTGTTATTCGGATTAATGTGGAAGTAAATGAGGCAAAAGTCCCGCGAGTTAATTATTGCTTCCTAATATGCAGGGTCGGTAAGTGGGGAAAATTACCGACTTCATTAACAGATGGTATAACCTCTAGCTATTCAGTTTGGAGAAGTCGTTTCCACGCAGCGAGCGTGTGAAATTTATTCACATTATTGTATAGACAATTAAGACATCAATCAGCTGTTTTTGAATTAAATCCATTGAACCACTTCAGTCTGTTCATGACTCATTTCGGTAGATCAAGTGGTAAACCAAATCCCAATGCTCTCAAAAGCAACAGAAAACCCAAGAAACCGAAAGTTTCCGATGGATATGAAATATTTGAGAGGTTTTTCAAACCTTCAAGATCACTAAAAGATCTTTGTCGACCTTAATACTTCCACAATGGCGAAGAAGAGCTTTAAAGACCATAGAATCTCCTCAAGATCCTTCCCTTACTGCTTTTTGTACGTTTTGTAAGTATGTTTGTTCGTTTTGGGGTCACGACCCTAGTAATAGTCATTTCAGCTGTAACGTTTAGAGGTCGGCTTGGGTAATTAGTAATTCATAATAATTAGGGGTCGATTATGCGCCATTTTGTGTCGTGCAAATCGAATTTTATTTCGACCGGAAACATTCTATCTTCTCGGTGGGATTTACGTACATTTTTCTTGACTCTTAGAGGCCGATTAATTATCGGTCAGAGTAATTAGTCATTTGACACTAATTAGGCACCGATTATGTGCCATTTTGTGTAGTGCTAATCGAATCTTGACGGACATTTTTTCTAGAACTGTAACGTTTAGGGATCTATTAATTATCGGCCTCCGTAATTAGCCATTAGGTACTAATTAGGCACCGATTATGCGCCATTTTGTGGAGTACAAATCAAATTTAGGTTCGACTGCAAACATTCCGTCTTCCTGACGGGATTTACGGACATTTTTTCATGAACTGTAACGTTTAGGAGTTGATTAATTATATCGGCCAAGGTAATTAGGCATTAGGCACTAATTGGACACCGATTATGCTCCATTTTGTGTAGTACAAATCTAAATTTATTTCGATCGCAGACATTCTGTCTTCCTGGCGGGATTGACGGATATTTTGTTTGAACTGTATCGTTTAGGGGTTTAATTATCGACCTGAGTAATTAGTCATTTGGGACTAATTAGGGACCGATTATGCGCCATTTTGTGTAATGCAAATCGAATTTTAATTCGACCGCAACCATTCTGTCTTCTTAGCGGGCTTTACGGACATTTTTTCTTGAACTGTAACGTTCAGGGTTCGATTAAATTATCGACCTGAGTAATTAGTGATTTGGCACTAATTAGGCACCAATTATGCCCCATTTGGTGTAGTGCAGAAACGAGTTTTATTTCGACCGCAAATTTTAGGTCTTCCTGGCGGGATTTACGGGAATTTTTTCTTGAACTGTAACGTTTAGGGGTCGATTAATTCTCGACCCGAGTAATTAGTCATTCAGGAATAATTAGGGGTCGATTATGCGCACTATTTTGTGTACCTCAAATAGAATTTTATTTCGACCGCAAACATTCTGCCTTCCTGGCGGGATTGACGGACGTATTTTCTTGAACTGTAACGTTTAGGGGTCGAGATTAGTCATTTTAATTCGGCCCGTAGTATCTTATTAGATTCATTTCAAGACACGATAATTATCGGCAGTCATTCAGTAATTATGATTATGCGCCATCTTGTGTAGTGCAAATCGAATTTTATTTCGACCGCAAACACTCTGTCTTCTTGGTGGGATTGACCGACGTTTTTTTTTAGCTGCAACGTTTAGGGTCGATTAATTCTCGGCCTGAGTACTTAATCATTTGGCTAATTAGGCCGATTATGCGCCATTTGGTGTAGTGCAAAATCGAGTTTTATTTCGACTGCAAACATTTTGTCTTCCTGGAGGGATTTACGGAATTATTTCTTGAAGTGTTAGATTTAGGGGTCGACTAATTATCGGCCCAAGTAATTATTCATTGAATAATAATTAAGGGTTGATTATGCGCCATTTTGTGTTGTGCAAAATGGAGTTTTATTTCGCCTGCAAACCTTTTATCTTCCTGGCGGGATTTACGGAATTATTTCTGCAACTGTAAGGTTTAGGAATCGATTAATTATCGGTCGGAGTAATTAGTCATTTAGAATTAATTAGGCACCGATTATTCGCCATTTTGTGTAGTGCACATCGAATTTTATTTCGACCGCAAACATTCTATCTTCTTGGTGGTATTGACCGACGTTTTTTTTGAGCTGCAACGTTTAGGGGTCGATTAATTCTCGGCCTGAGTAATTAATCATTTGGCACTAATTAGGCTCCGATTATGCGCCATTTGGTGTAGCGCAAAATCGAGTTTTATTTCGACTGCAAACTCTGTCTTCCTGGCGGGATTTACGGAATTATTTCTTGAAGTGTTAGATTTAGGGGTCGACTAATTATCGGCCCAAGTAATTATTCATTTAGTAATAATTAAGGGTTGATTATGCGCCATTTGGTGTAGTGCAAAATCGAGTTTTGTTTCGGCCGCAAACATTTTGTCTTTCTGGCGGGATTTACGGAAGTAGGTACTTCTTGAACTGTAAGGTTTAGGGGTCGATTAATTATCGGCCCGAGTAATTAGTCATTTGGCACTAATTAGGCACCGATTATGCGCCTTTTTGAGTAGTGCAAAATCGAGTTTTGTTTCGACTGCAAACATTTTGTCTTCCTGGCGGGATTTACGGAATTATTTCATCAACTGTAACGTTTAGGTGTCGATTAATTATCGGCCCGAGTAATTAGTCAATTGAAACTAATTCGGCACAGATTATGTGCCATTTTCTGTAGTGCAAGTGGAATTTTATTTCGACCGCAAACATTCTGTCTTGCTGACGGGATTTACGGACATTTTTTGGTCCTTTTTTGTAGATTCCATTTGGCGGAAGAATAGGGGGTGGTGTGATGTTAGTTAGGAAAACGATGAATAAAGATGAGGGTGCGGTACATAGGTAGTCGGGGGAGAGCGATCGATTTCGAAGAAACGGATTGAGAGTCTGCGGGTCTGGAGGAGGGCTGCTTCGGCAGGAATGCTTGGAATCTCTTTTCGTTTACGGCATTCGAAGAAATAGGTGAGATGAGGGCCTGAACAGTTATTGCATTTGGTCTGGTTATTGGCTTTAGGTACACCAGTTAGTTTTTTACCACAGGATGAACTACTTGCATGCGAGTAGGGCAATCTGGGGAGATGTGACCGATTTTCGTGCACATGGATCAGTATTTCGATGTAGGATCTGAGATGTGTGATGGTTCGCATGGATAGTTGCACCATGTTGGTTGAGATGAGGGCCTTTGCAGGTTGCTATAAGCTTTTGAAGGTGAGATTTTTTGAGGAATTATTAGTTGCAGTGGCGTGCGTTTACACAACTAAGAGGGTAATGTTTTTAATGGAAAGTGTAACGATTGGTTACATTCCAAGGGTTGAAGACCCTCGTTTGTACTAAATAATTGATATAAAATTAGAAAATACAACCCCCACCTCGTGCCCACGTTTGGTCATAATTTCCCGTATCTAAATTTTGTACGCACAATAAACTTCTCGCAGTTTTTTTACACAAATATTGTATGCATACCTTATAGCAAAACGAAATTTAAATTCGTGCAAAATTATCATTTAAGTAAAATATAAATAATGAGAAAATAACCAAATTCCTTTGTATGGGTCCGCTTATGATAATTAAATGCAATTCGAATCTGTTCCATGCAATTAATTTCCACAGCCCGGTTCCTTTAACGATGTTATGATTACGTTAAATAAATCTGCTGCAAATTATTCACCTACAATTAAAAAAAAAGTAACCAACACTGGAATCGATGTTTTTCTTAAGGCCCTCCCCTCTAAAAAAAAATTGAAACCTGGATCGCTTTAGGAGCTAACGCAGTTGAATCTTTGACACCCACTTTGATAAAAAAAAACTAGTCTGCACAAGTGCACATGCTAATTTTTGCACTTATTATTCATTGGAGTTTTTCGTAAGCAAAATGCCACTTTAAATTCGATAAAATCGTCTCAGATTGCGTAACATACGATTATACATATACTACGACCGAGTCGTGCAACCTGTTCGAAATGAGGTCACCGAATGTACGTGTAGTGTCCCCATTACACTCTCATAGTTTAGATATCTCCTGCATACGCGTACGCGCTGCATTAAGGCGAATTGTCCTTATCCGAGAACTGCGTTACGTATTTACTCCCAACGATTCGTAAAATTCGTAAAAGGTAAGCCGAAACTTGCTCTTTTCTGTTTCTAATTTTCTGTTTGTAGTTGCCCAGTAAAAAAAACGAAACGGAACCAAAGAAAATGCCACGGCGGCGTGCCCTGTAAGCCAATAGAAGTCAACGCAAAAGTCGAGCAGTCCTGCGTGCACATCTTCTGCGCCTCCATTGAACTTGGCCGGGCACTTGGAGAACGATCCCCTCGGTCAAGACTTAAGACCTGAGCATGACTTGCCTGTATGATATCGCAGGTGGTTTGGGTATAACTGTAGAGCAAGACAGTAAAAAAGCTAAGTAAATTTTTGTTCTGAAACGTATTACAAAGATCTTCTTAAAATTAAACTCGAAAATTTTTACAAGTCCTGAAACGTATTTCAAATGTCAAGCTCACGGACTTTCCAAGCGCAGTAGTTAATCAATGTCTAATTTTTTAAAGGAGCCTTCAACTCCAAAAATGTCAGTGGTCTTCACTGATCCTACTGCTCTTTTGGTTTCATCCGCAATGTACGTATCCTCATTCCTGAAGTACTCCGCATAGTCCATCAGCCTTTTAATGTTGGCGTCTAAAACAAATCGGCACAATTACCATTGTGACAATCCCCAAAGCTCACCCTGCAGCTCCTGAAAGGACGGCTGCAAGCTTCCGTAGTCACTTGGCAGGCACTCCACTGGAATATCTTTCGGCAGAGTGAAGTTCTGGTGGCAATGTACCTGAAAACCCATGTGACATGCGCTGAAAACCCTTTGATTCAACAAACCATGTTAATCAGCTCCTCATTCAGAAACGGTCTGATCATGCTCATTATTCGATCCATATAAGAGCCGGCGTTCACCAGGTGGATACTTATCAGTCGGGTAAAAAGCGCCTCCTGAACGTACATTATCCCTCTTTTAATCGAAGTGAGGTTCGCTCTGAGTATATGTCCGAGGACGACTCCCTTCAGGTCGCACACGACCGCGAATCCTTCGCACGTGCCGTTCTTCATCAACCATTGCGTGACGCACATGTCGAAGAGCTTGATCTGCGCGTTCACATCAAAACGGCTTGGATCGGTATTGAGGAATCTAAACAGGATGATCTGGTGACCGTGAGTTGTTTTCTTTGGTAAAGGCAGAAACCCCCTACGGTTTCCAAGTTGTTAGGCTGTAAGCGTTGGTGGTCGAGGGACTTACGCGACTTCGAGCTGTGCACGCAGCTGAGGCAGAGTGGGATCCCTGTCTCTGAAGAATTCGGTCCAGTGGGCTCTGTAGGTGAAAAACGATTCTATTGTCGCTTTCGCCTTTTCGGTGCTGAAGCGGCAGCTCTGCAGGAAGAAAATCAGGTGGAGTTCTGCAACAAAGTTCTCTTGATCTCATTTCCGCTCTATCACTGTCACTTCTCCTCTCTTACGCAAACTAAAATACGCCTGCATTCCGTGATATAAGCCGCGCCTTTATCTATGAAGTAATTAATTTATTATCAACAAAGACACACCTTGACTTCAGGAAAGGTGAAGCCGTATGCATCCAGTACACTCTGGGTGGAACGTAATCTTGCTACACATCTCGGACAATTTCCAATTCCTGTAAACTTCATGTACCACGAATATAAAATTTTACCTAGGGGACTCTTGGATCAAATTTTGTGTATTACCATCATTGGGGCCCTACCCGAAGAAGGACTCGGGGGCGTCCAAAAATTTCCGGGACTGTTAAGGCCCGTGTGAAGTGTTTTGAAACTTTTAAATGTCTCCTAGGAACCTTTAAACTAATCTCTCTCTCTCCGACACATAGTTTTTGAGGATAAAGCATTTCATTTCCAAAGTCTCCAAAAGGCTTCTTCGGCTTCTAAATGCCTAGTAATTAGTAGAGGTAGAGGTTCTTTAAGGGTTGGTGAGCGGAAAGAATCCATGAAACCTTCTAGGAGTCTTTAGATACATTAAACGTCTCCAAGAAACACAGAAAATTTGTTTAAAAGGTGTCGTTTTGGTTTAGCTATCACGCACTTATACTAATCGTCATTATCAACCGAGTTTAATCTCAATTACCTGTTACTATGTAATGGTGTACTCCGCATTGATCGCTACTAAAGCAACTCGGTCGTAGCACGGAACTTACCCGGAATATCTGGCAGATGTGGTTGTTTTTCGGCCCACTCCTTCAACATCATGACATCTTCTCTTCGCAACTTGACACTCTTCCCATACTCTTCTTCGACGGTAACACCTTTCATGGCGGTGAGAAACCCGAAGCTCATCCACGGACCGATTAATGAGCACTGATTGCTCCAATCCGATATGCCCTTCGAGTACGTGAATGCTGATTTTGGTTGAACGCCACTTGACTTATCAGCAGTTCCACCCCCAGAAAAGTGGTGGATACTTGATGAATAATTAAACCCATACCCTCCACGTTTAACTTTTTTAACTAAATCTTCCGGTAACCGTTGAATGTATCGGGCGTACAGGAATTTTGCGATTGATCTACTCCTCATACCAGCAACGTAACCAGAAACGTTTGCTTTTAGACGCTAAATATTTGAAATCCATTGGTTCATAAATCAAAGCTTACAATAATCGTTTACAGTATCATCAGGCGTGCAGAACTTTTACGTTTAATATACTCCTGATAACGGTAATGAAGGCAAAAAGGGTTTATTAGATTTAAATTTGTTTAGAGATTGAAATCTTCTTGTTTCAAAGCTTCCAGTTGTCATTAAACTTATCAGGCGCACAGAATTTTTTAAAATTTGGATGTACTCCTGATGCCGGAAACGTAACCAGAAGCGTTCATTTAGATTCAAATTTGTTTAAGAAATGAAGGGATTGAAATCTTCTGAAGTCATAGGTTCTAGTATTGAACATATGAAGGGTACTCCTGATACCGGCAACGTAGCCAGAAACGTTTGATTAAATTAAGTTTGCTTTTTGACGCTAAATATTTGAAATCTATTGGTTTACCTTCATGAATCAAAGCTTACAATAATCGTTTACAGTATTAGGCGTGCAGAACTATTACGTTTAATATACCTACTCCTGATACCGGTAATAAAAGCAAAAAGGTTTTATTAGATTTAAATTTGTTTAGAGATTGAAATCTTCAACTAAATAGTAAATACTTTACACAAATCATATTGTTATATACAAATTTAAGGCGAGTAAAAGCGTATTATTATTATTATATTATTATATAGGAGGTACCTACCAGGACCATACGTACGTCTTTCTGAAATTAATCCTAGCGATTTTGGAACATATCAATTTTTGACCATCCGTTTATCCGTGTGCATGATAACTTGTTCAGAAACGTGCGATCGCTTTGAAAATTGGTACACATGGTCTTAAGGATATAACTAAGGTCCCTATTGTTTTTAAGTTACGTAGACTATCGAGTTCGGTATTCAGATGTATCGGATTTTTATATTTGATTTTGTGACAATGGACACTTTTCCTAAACATTTCTAAATTGTTCTCAAATAATTGAATAACTTAAAAGTACTGCCTCTTTTGAGGCCGGAAAAAAATTGTCTGAGATCGAGATCGATCGAGAGTCCATAATTTCAAACAATTTGATCACTAGATCAAAAGTTACAGCCCTTTGAATTTTTTTTCGAAATTTGTTTTTTGTCCATAACATTTGATTGAGAAGTCTGATCGAAAAAGTACGAACTGATTTGGATTCTACGCACCAAAATTAATAAGAAAATGTGTTTTCCCGAGAAATTTTGGTGCAGTCGATTTTTGGTAAAAAAGGAAGGTTGTAGTACACTGCCTTTTTTTGAGGCCCTCAAAGAAAATTGTCTCAGATCGACCCGGAAAAAAATTTTCTTATAGAATGTGGCCTGTAGAATCCATAGTTTCAAACAGTTCCAAGATTGGGCTACTAGTTCAAAAGTTACAGCCCTTTGAATTTTCTTTCGAAATTGGTGTCTAGTCTATAACTTTTGATTGAGAAGTCTGATCGAAAAAGTACGAATTGTTTTGGATTATACGCACCAAAATTAATAAGAAAAAGTGTTTTCCCGAGAAATTTTGGTGTAGTTGATTTTTGGTAAAAAAGGAAGGTTATACACTGCCTTTTTTTTAGGCCCGCAAAAAAAATTGTCGCAGATCGACCCGGAAAAAAAATTTTCTTTTAGAATGTGGCCTGTAGAATCCCTAATTTCAAACAGTTCCAAGATTGAGCTACTAGTTCAAAAGTTACAGCCCTTTGAATTTTCTTTCGACATTGGTTTCTAGTCTATAACTTTTGATTGAGAAGTCTGATCGAAAAAGTACGAATTGTTTTGGATTCTACGCACCAAAATTAATAAGAAAAAGTGTTTCCCCGAGAAATTTTGGAGTAGTCGATTTTTGGTAAAAAAGGATGGTATTCAAATACTAAGCGAAGTATTCGAATACTTCACGAAGTATCCAAATACTTTGCGAAGTAAACTGATACTAAATATTTGTGAAAGTATTTGAGTTACAAAAACAAATACTGCTTCCATAAAAGTATTTAATTACAAAGTATTTGAATACTTTAAATTAAAGGATTTGAATACTAAAAAGTATTTACAAAGTCGAATACTGCCCAGCTCTGCTTCCAGTTGTCATTAAACCTATCAGGCGCACAGAATTTTGTAAAGTTTGATGTACTCCTGATGCCGGCAACATTACCAGAAGCGTTCATTGGCAACGTGGCCAAAATTTTTTATTTAAATCTCAATTTACGGAATGAAGCTAGGGAATTGAAATCTGTTATATCTCCTCTAGAATCAAAGCTTCCCGGAATCGTTAAACCTATCAGGCTTTGATGTATCCCTGGTACCGGCAACAAAGTCGCGAAATTATTCGTAAATCGCAGACAGTGGAAGTTTGAAATCACGCGAATTTAAACTCGTGGGCCCTGAACTTAGGGCAGTGGACAAAAAATTAACGGCGTAACGTAAGCCCGGCGCAGATCAGTGACATTTTCGTTTGCCGGTGAATTGCGTCATTTGGTGCAATCGCACGAAATGTCAAGAAGACTGCGAGCAATTATTATGAACGCTATTGTTTTAAAAAAGAGTTAAATAAATAAAGAGCGACCATTTAGATTGGAAATGTACGATTTTGAGTAGGGGCTTTGAAATAAAAAATGAAGAGCGGGTTTTGGCTTTTTATTCAATACATAAGACAAGGTCTATTTAATTGCTGCAAATTAATAATTATGAGCTAGCCGTCGGTCGGTTTTCAGGTATCATTTTCAAAATTTTATTATCAGTATATTAATCGACCTCTAGTCGTTTAAACGAACCATCTGTGCCAAAAGCGCCGTCAGCATTGGATGGCCTTGCAACCCTCTTTGTTTCATCCGTAATGTGCGCCTCTGCTTTTACGAAGTAATCGGCGAAATGTATCAAATTTTGCGTATGGGTCTCTGAAATAAGTCTATTACTCCAAACTTCAACCTAAGCGAAGAGGGTACCATGAAGGTCTTTGAGCGACGGTTGTTGTCCACCATAGTCTCTGGGAAAGTTCTCCTTGGGGATGTATTGGAAGACCGTTTCTACGGAACCGTGCACGTGCAACTAAAAAAAAACCTGGTACACTTAGGGGTTTTTATAATTGCAGGCGTACAGAATTAAACAGCTCGTTTCTCACGATGGGTTTTATCACAGCCATCATGCTATCAAGTAGACCTACTGCATTAAGGAAGTGGATTGCTTTTAGACGGATGGGAACTGCATCCTAAGCACAAAATTAACGAACCAGTAAGTACCAAGGTTATTACCTGTAGGTACGTAAACCAGTTTCGAAGTGTCGAAAAGTTAATTCTTAGCATATGAGCAAATGTTATCCCCTCGAGGTCACAAACCACGACTAGACCGTCCGATGTACCATTTCGAAACAGCTCGAATATGATACCCATATCCAGGACCTTGGCGGATTCGTTTGCGTCAAACTTTCCAATGTCGCTATCAAACATCTTGTGCAATAAGATTCGGTTGCCGTCGTGGGTTTTTTTCGGCAAACACATACTGAAGCTGCAAAGAAACGAATAAAAATATTAATCGCCATGGCCACCTACACCGAATCGATGTGCGTTCGGAGTTCGGCCCTTCGGGGATCACGATTCGCGAAGAACTCCGGGCATTGGGCGCGCAGCGTGAAGAACGACTCGATCGTCGATTTGGCCAACTCCGTGCTGTAGTAGCAGCTGTGCAGGAAGAAGATGAGCTGAACCTCTGAAACGGCAACGCTTACTTCCCTTGACCGAAAGTATAAGATACCATACCAGAAATCGGTGGTAGGTGGCGCTGCTTTTCCGCCCAACCCTTCAGAATCATCACATCGTCCTTTCGTAATCTCCCATCTTTCTCGTACTCACTTTGCGCGCTTACGTTCCTCATTGGATGATCAATTTCGCAGGATTGAATCGAATGTTCACATGCAGCTGCTGCTAATTGTACAGGAAGGTCGCAACCTCAACATTAATTTCACATGACGTCAGTAAATGGCCCCATTTAAAAGTAACTCAGTCAAAAGGAAAATGATATTGCCAATGGTAATTATTGTTAAACCACCATACCTATCAGGTTGAAATTATCCCATCTTTACATTTTTATTTAGTAATTGAAATGCTAGTGTGGAAATTATGTACTTTTGGTATTCTTACGTTGCAAATAAATGACTGCGCATAAATGGATATTCAAAATTAAAAATAAATGAAGAAGGTGTGGTGCAATAATTATTATAAGGTGTAATGCAAAATGCACTTGAATTTCAAACGTTCCTTGATCCTCTTGAACCCTCCTCTATTTGTCTCTGCCCCATTCATCCTCTATATGTTATACTTCTCCCCTCCAAAGATACAGTTTCTGAAAGATCTGAAATGATAGAAGCCTTGTCACGTATCGAAACCATCTCCGGGGGCAAGGTTGTCGATTGCAAACTATGTGTATGCAATCCTCCTTGGATGTCTCCAAAATCCCCGTAGACCTTCTCGAGAAAGCCGGCCTCACCTACAAGTCGCAAGTCCTTGGCTTTCTATCTTGTATATCTCCTCTGATTTCTCCAGAGCCTGACCATAATTATCCGAATCGTGCGGTGCTTTATGTGCCAAAAATTCGGCCATAACTCTCCCGACTGCCGAACTGAACTTCCATTCATCTGCAACATCTCGACTATGTCTGGGACGAGTTGCAAAATCCTAATAGCAGGCGGTTTTAATTCGAAATGGCCGCGGAGGAAACTGCAGAGAGGCTGGAAGAGTTGGTTCGTCATCCTGGTAGTGTGAAAAACTGGACAGACTGAATAAGGTAGTGCGCACATTGGGGTGTCTCTAGAAGGTCCAGGTGAGGGTTTGGGATCTCTTAAAGATTCCTGCTACACGTAAATTTTTTTCCCGATAGGCGCTTTTCATCAAGGTCCCGCTTCGTGTTCACTTCTTTCTAACGTTTTCGTCGGTCTTCAGATTTTCTCGGAAACGAAAGGTAAATCAAAAAAGTTCCAGGAGAGAGTTGGGGCTCCCTTAAGATCTCCCGCTCTACACCGATTTCTTCTCCTCTGTTGCCATTTTTTGTCATTTTAATTGGACGTGAAGGTCCGGACAGGAAGGCTCATTGGACCCTAATTTTTTAACTTCTGCGGACTCTTTCGTCATCGTCCCCTTACCACGGATGTCCATTTGCCCGGAAGGTTATTACCTTCCTGCTCTACTCCGGTGGCGCCTTCTTAATATCTTCTTAGATTCTCAATCGTCCGGATTGCAGTGATTGTGGAAAGGTTCCGATGACGACTTCCACAACCAGTACTGATTTATCTGTGGCGCCGTTTCTAAACATCTTCATGGGCCCGGAATTTAATTTCAAATATGTTCAGATGAGACTTGGGCGCCATTTTAGATGTTCGCACTATACTGAGAGGTTCCACCCTGTATATACAACTTACGGGGATGCACACAATTTTGAGAGTTGGCAACCACGCAATTTTTAGAAGTGGAAAAGGCCATATTTTTGATGAAAGGAAAGATCATCGATCTCCCCTTTCTTGTAAAATAACGATCAGAGCACGGGGGCTGTAAATTTTGGAGACGAGTACAGCAACAGGGGATCTGGGAGGTATAGAAGATTTAAACGCTCCACGCAGCATTACAGTGACTAACTTAAATTTGTTTCAAACACTCCGACGAGCCGCAATCGTGACTAATTTTCGTTTTATCTTTTTTTCTCGGTTTTAAGCGAAATTTGCCCCACGGACATTTGTTACACGGCCTGATTTAAATATTTCATTAACTAAAAATATTACCTAGTACCAACTGCGGGTGATTCACTTACAAACGCTTTTATCTGTTTAACGCGAACTCTCTCGTGGCTACCCGAGTATTGCCCCACGCTTATATCCGAACGACTTATTCCTCAGCACGTGCATTTTTTGAACATCCCGCTCTTTTCCTGCGAAATAGGCTGATTCAGCTGGACTGTCACGTACCTTCGTCAATTTCGCTTTCCACAGTCTTGCGCTAAAACGGAAATATACAGTCAGGACCGTACTCGGAACTTAAATGCGTTATCTTTAGCTTTGATTAATTGCTTGAGAAACTAATTCCGGATCTAAATGAGGCACCAGGTATAAAAGATATTAGTATTGTAGTGTACTTAACCTCTATGGAAATAACGTCAACCCAGAAACGTTTAAAAATGGCCACCCGAATGATGATTCCCTCCAAAATTAAACAAGATCCCGCTTAAATTTGAAAAATGGCACGTGATCAAACATCTAAGGCAAGGCACCCCATTAATGTAAGCAAAGCCAAAAGGCGTCTTACTCTCGCAGAAGTAACTGCCAAGGGCAGAAAGAGTACGACGAAAGAAAACCTTGCAGTTTGATTAATGCAGTAATAAAATTAGTTAACAAAATAATTTGTAAAATTATCAAGTTTTGACAGTGGTTAACAAAGATAGTAAATTTTGGAAGCAATGGGTACCTAAATTCTGACAAAAGGGCGAAGGACACAGGATGTGACAAATTACATGGCCTTGTAGGAAAATTTGACTAATGGCCAAAATATGTGAAAGTTATTAAATCGCAACTCATATACCACACACATAGATTCTAAACCAAAGAGTTTTTCATTAGCGTAATCTTGCCTCAAGATAGATAACTTGCCCCTGGTTTCGGGGTTTCGAGCCTACAGTTGAAAGTCGAAGACAATCACGGAATTAGGTGTCGTAACTCAAATTGATTACAGTTTTGACCACCCCCGTGACTGCTACATTCACGGAGAAAATGTTAGTTACAAACAACAAGTTACACAACTCGCTAATTTCCACATATTAAAATAAAATGATCAAAATTTCTATGAATGTTACTTCTCGTTTAGACCATGTAATCAAAACATAAGCAAACATTACACCAAAAACGTAGACGATTACAAACAAAAGGATAACGGTATCAAATATGTGATTATTTTACACCAAAAACGTAGACGATTACAAACAAAAGGATAACGGTATCAAATATGTGATTCTGCATTAAGGTTAAATCAAGTAAATTTCAAAAACAAAGATTGAAACTCACAAAAATATAAAATGCTGCATACAAAACACCAATACGATATAAAAAAAAGCAAAGATTACTGCCTGCATTAAATAACACAAAATAACAACAAACATTATCGCCATTAAAAACAAGATGCCAAACGTAACCAACAATCGTGCTCTCCATATGGTGCAGGTAGCTTTTCCACTTCTAAAAATTGCGTGGTTGCCAACTCTCAAAATTGTGTGCATCCCCGTAAGTTGTATATACAGGGTGGAACCTCTCAGTATAGTGCGAACATCTAAAAGGGCGCCCAAGTCTCATCTGAACATATTTGAAATTAAATTCCGGGCCCATGAAGATGTTTAGAAACGGCCCCACAGATAAATCAGTACTGGTTGTGGAAGTCGTCATCGGAACCTTTCCACAATCACTGCAATCCGGACGATTGAGAATCTAAGAAGATATTAAGAAGGCGCCACCCGAGTAGAGCAGGAAAGGGCCGGAGTTCCAACTCTCATCTGAAACTTTCTGTAATCACCTTCCGGACAAATGGATATCCGTGGTAAGGGGACGATGACGAAAGAGTCCGCAGAAGTTAAAAAATTAGGGTCCAATGAGCCTTCCTGTCCGGACCTTCACGTCCAATTAAAATGACAAAAAATGGCAACAGAGGAGAAGAAATCGGTGTAGAGCGGGAGATCTTAAGGGAGCTCCAACTCTCTCCTGGAACTTTTTTGATTTACCTTTCGTTTCCGTGAAAATCTGAAGACCGACGAAAACGTTAGAAAGAAGTGAACATATTTGGATGAAGCGGGACCTTGATGAAAAGCGCCTATCGGGAAAAAAATTTACGTGTAGCATGAATCTTTAAGAGATCCCAAACCCTCACCTGGGCCTTTCTGGAGACACCCCAATGTGCGCACTACCTTATTCAGCCTGTCCGTTTTTCACACTACCAGGATGACAAACCAACTCTTCCAGCCTCTTTGCAGAGTTTCCTCCGCGGCCATGTCGAATTAAAACCGCCTGCTATTAAGAACTTGCAACTCGTCCAAGACATAGTCGAGATGTTGCAGATGAATTGAAGTTCAGTACGGCAGTCGGAAGAGTTATGGCCGAATTTTTGGCACATAAAGCACCGCACGATTCGGATTATTATGGTGAGGCAGGCATTCCACCCGACGCGACGTATACACGACTGCCAGCCGAGAGACGCTGGCGTAAGGCACCGAGTGCACTCAAAGTATCCAATGACGCGTACTCCTTCGCGCGGTCCCAGACAGAACATTAGGATTTTTCCGCCAAGGAGGACTTCCTCGGAAGCAGAACAAAAGTTCTGGGAGAGGATGGTTTCCTGGACCTGCTCCGGAGAAATCAGAGGAGACATACAAGGTAGAAAGCCAAGGACTTGCGACTTGTAGGTGAGGCCGGCTTTCTCGAGAAGGTCTACGGGGATTTTGTCCATCTTGACTTTTAGGGTCTAGGACTTTCATGAGTGCTGTCTTTGTCACGTCGTATGTCTTTATTGCGTC